GTGCTAGTAATGGAAGAACTCCACGACTCCAGGAAGTGGCCCGAAGCTTGCCACAACGTAAGGGGACCGTGGGCAATTACAGCCAACGTCAGTTGAGCGTGGACAATTAGACCCAAGCCGAAACATAACATATACAAAAGGGAAATATATGTTTTTTATGATAGAATATAGTATTGTTATCAGTATGACATAAGTATACCAAGTTTGCAGTCGATACCACATTGGGAAGTGGCTTAAAATTGAGTTGCAAGATTTGAGGATACAATGACAACAACAACAGGCAGTGAATTCTAGATTTGAAGCTTTCGTGACCGCAAGGATCCATACGTCGTGATTTTTGTTGTTTTATTTTTTACCTACGTGACTTTACCGAATAGAACCAAAAAGAACAGACAGTGAGTTAATAGAAAGCGTGTAATAATGAAAAGCACTCGCACTGCGTCCTGTGTAATACACACACACACGCACCGCTGGAACGGAGAATTCCCAGGAGCGAGAGTGGTTTAACCAAGGCTCGATTTTATCCGTGTCTGGGACTCTTGACATTTTCCCACCCGGCACACCGCATCCAGGATACCCTCTTGTTGTGGCTGTTAATGAACGTGCCACCTACTCCAAGTCTACCAGTGATCCAGGGTCCTAGATGTCACATAGGCTTGACACTGCCTAATGGCACTCGACTAAGTTGTAGGCTTTATAACAGTGGCTAGCGACATAGTTAATGTTAAACAGGAGTCTTAACAGTTTGGTGTTCAAGGATTGGAATGTAAAGACGCCGCCACTTTACTGCAGTGGTACACGAGGGCATTGTCGGGATTTCCGTGGCTAAACATAAACAGTGGCATTCACACTGTAGGGTTGGAATGATTTCCTATTTGCTTTCATTGCTGTACTTTATTTTGAGTTTTTGTAATTTCGATTAACCGGGTGAATGTTGATAAATGTATAAGTATTCTGTTCACTCGAATTGTCACATGGTTACACAAAAAGAAACAAATTATTCGCGTATGCTGCATTGTTTGTGGCGTACAAGCACAAATAAAACAACTCGCACATTCGTTAAGTGGCCTTAAAAGTTAAAAAAAGTACATAACAAGCAACATTTTTGGCAACGGTCCTTCATTTATATGTGTTGTGTCTATAACTAAACACACGGAGACGCCTGCTGGAGGCAACGCGTTTATTATAACAACTCTGTTAATCGCAACTGTAACACGAAGGAGGAGTACCGCCTCTTCAACCCGATAGCCTAAGGGAGGTAAACACTCCCTTCTAGCGCGTCCTACACACTGCGGGCTGCTCTACACACCGGTCCCTTGCCACGGCGGCTAAGGGAAGACTGGACCGACCCGTCTCAGGCAGGGTACGGGGCTCACCCCTGGCCCGCTACACCCCGGCTCTGGCGAGAGCCTCGGGGAGGGTCCCAGGGTGTCCGAGCTACCTCGGGTCCGCTACAACCCGGCTCTAACGAGAGACTCGGTTGAGGGTTCCCAGGTGCTGGTTCAGTCTTCAGGTCTTCAGATGTCTTCAAACTTGAGTGGGTGAACACTGCCCGACCTGTTCAGAGGGTCAGGGGTTGGCTTTTTATCCCCAGGTCGGGCTTACCCCTCCCCTCATGACCCCTCCTCCAGAACCTTCTAGAAGGTCTTAGAGGGTCTTAAATCTTAAGGGGTCTTAGGAAGGGGTGGGGGGAGCCCACCCCCCTGAGCCCCCAGCCCCTGTCGGCCCGTGAGCGTGGTGGCAGGTAAGCTGCTTACAGCGCCTTGTTATGGCGCAACATATGCAATGAAAGGCCCCTTTGCCACAGTGTTAGTGACCAGGGGCGGAGCCACGGGGGGGGGGGGGCTGGGGGGGCTCAGCCCCCCCTGAAATTTTGGGAAAGTCGATAATCGGGATAACCTGATATCCGGCTGCTGCAAAATGCTGCCGGCTGCCACCTTGTGCTGCCCTGCAGGCTGCCACCTCGTGCTGCCCTGCAGGCTGCCACCTTGTGCTGCCCTGCAGGCTGCCACCTCGTGCTGCCCTGCAGGCTGCCACCTCGTGCTGCCCTGCAGGCTGCCACCTTGTGCTGCCCTGCAGGCTGCCACCTCGTGCTGCCCTGCAGGCTGCCACCTTGTGCTGCCACCTTGTGTGCTGCCCTGCAGGCTGCCACCTTGTGTGCTGCCCTGCAGGCTGCCACCTTGTGTGCTGCCCTGCAGGCTGCCACCTTGTGTGCTGCCCTGCAGGCTGCCACCTTGTGTGCTGCCCTGCAGGCTGCCACCTTGTGCTGCCCTGCAGGCTGCTTGAGCGGCAGCCTTTCGAACTTGTCGAACTTATTAGCCACATCAGCGGCTCCGACCTATTAATAAACTCCGCGTTCAAATCCAATAAAATTTGTTTTATACATTTGTGGCGCCCATTGGAAAACATTACACTGGATATCTCAGAATATTGAAGTCAGCCCCCCCAAAGTCAAAATCCTGGCTCCGCCCCTGTTAGTGACTAATGTGTTAAGCTGGGGATGCGGAGAAGTTAACTCGGAACGAAATAGTCGTAGTGGTACCCGGCAGATATGAAAGACGACAACCACTACAAAGCAGTAAACCCCACCGTTGGAGAGTCAAATCCTTCGCAAGCGCGGGAACACACACAAAGCCACAAACAGACAATTTTTTTACTTTTATATAGAGACTAGCTTTACTACCCGGCTTTGCCCGAGACTTGGATTCACCACGCCCGGCCGCCTTTGTCTCCCCAGTGGCGATGTTGACACGCCACAGCAGTTACTCGTTTGACGCTGAGTCGACCTAGGGGAGGGCCCAGGACCGGTTTAAATAATCGTCACCGGTGGTGGCCGTGAGCGGGAATCGAACTCGGGTGGGCAGGTTCTTAGCGCAGCGCGCTAACCACTACACTACAATGCGTTACGCTTCCACGTGTGCGGGTCACGTGACAGATTTGACGTCACAGCTCACTTGCCGTGCAAAAAATATGCATTATTGAGCTCCCCCCCCCCCCCCAAAAAAAAAGTGTATTTTTATAATTTTTGCATGGTGTACAGTCTGGAAAGTAGCCACATGGCAAATTTCAAGTTTGTTGCATGTCGGGAAGTACGCTAAACATTTTGAACAGACACATATATTCGCAACTTCGCCTTTTATATATATGGAGATAAGCAGATAATCCATTTCCTTCACACATATGTCTCTCCACATAAAATAATAATGCAATAATTTATTATACAACCCATCAGCCAAATGACCTTCTCGTAAGTGCAGAATTACGCAGAAAAGGTCCGGTGGACTGGTTCTGGCTCCAGTCACCATGAGGAGTGGACAGTTCTCCACTCAGGGCCTTAAAGTGCACCTAGCCTGGCACAAGCGCCGCAGTGGCGTCACTGCCACTTAGTGGTGAACGGCGGTTGGTGTGCTACGCGGGAGTCCTGAACTTTTCCCGGCACCACTTGCTCTCATGTTATATTTGCGCTGTTTTGTTTTCTTGCTGTGGTTTTCACACCTGATGATGATTGCTTGTGTTGCAGTCGAAACGTCGTGAGAATTTTATTGTTTTATATTTTTATTCTTTTATTGTTTCCCTTCTACGTGGTGACTTTACCGAAAGAACCAAGAATATGAATCCCTGCAGTCACGAAAGCTTTAAATAAATAATTGTTTTGTTTTGCATTGTGGGTGATGCACCATGCCATTTAGGATTAAGGGTTCCCCACTGACACTCGACAAATGTAGTTGTGTTTTTTTTTGCCATGCTTGATCTCCGTGGTTTATCCGGGGTGAGCACCAGAAAGACCGTGTGAGTGTTTGAGGTGGAATAAAAGGGGGTGACTGACACCTCCATCACATAGTTGAGTTTTAATGTGTGTACATTGCAGTGTGTGTACAGGATGTCAAAGGCAATCCGTTATTGATTACAAGCAGACCTCGCTTAGCGCGACCCTGTAGAACACTGATTCGCGATAGCTCTCTTTGTCTTGGAGATTTTTCTTTTACAAATAACAAAAAAAATAAATCTAAAAAGCAAAAAAGCGCTTACGAGTGAGAACACGTAGAGCTGGCCGAGAAAATGTACCCCCCCCCCCGCCGTCCTTGTTTACATTCGCTCAGCCAATGAGAGCGTCGTCCACTGGGCCAACCCACACCACACCCCCACGATTTGATTATTTATTACGATTTGTGGTCACGATAAGATTAAAAATATATATACAGTGTATGTTTTATTATAGGATCGGGGATAATAGGAGTTTTCACGGACCCGACAGTTTTCACAGATAATAGTTGTGGATAATAGAGCAGCGGAAAAGACGAGTTCTGGACAGTACTTTGTTTCTGCTTGCATTAATATACCATTCTACGATCTTGTGTTCAGAGACTAATAAAATATTCTTGATTTTTAAATGACTTTAGCTGTTGTATTAATTGCAGAGGATAGTAACACTTGCAAATTGTATACAAAATATATGGTCATGTTGCAAATCCATATATGTACTAGCTTATATACTCGCCGTTGCCCGGGCCACCAAACCCCACACCACACCCCCACGACAGATGGCTCTCGACAGAAATCAATATGAATTAATGCCCGAAACAAAAAGTGATAAATGTTGCCATTATTTTTTCCGGATGAACCTGCGTTTGCATTACAGTCACCGCGGACCACCTGGAGGACCGTCACGGACCACTCGTTGATTCCGGGAAGCCCAATCAAGAGACGCACTGCCGTATCGCAGTAGGAACCGTTACATTTAGATTTAAAGCTTTCGTGACTGCAGGGATTCATATTCTAGTTCTTTCGGTAAAGTCACCGCGCAGAAGGGAAATAATAATAAAATAATAAAAAGAAAGCAATTAAATAATAAAGCTATTCTTCTTTGGTTCTTTCGGTAAAGTCACGTAGAATGAGAATATTATTGTGTTATTTTATTTTATCAATTTATTATTTTATTCTCATTCTACGTGACTTTACCGAAAGAACCAAAGAAGATGAATCATTGCAGTCACGAAAGCTTTAAATCGAAAAATAAAGCTATTGTTTCATTATTTTATTATTTCCCTTCTACGTGACTTTACCGAAAGAGCCAAGAATAGGAACCGTTATATATGTGTGTGTGTGGGTGTTCTTAGAAATGCCAGTATGGCATACCATCGTATACCGACACATTTTGGCCACTGCACACCTCACTACAGTCGTGAAATGCCTTGTCATAGACAAGAGCTCCGCAAATTTACTTTCTAAACTTCACTCCCCCTTCATTTGAAACAAGTACAATTTTACTTGCGTGAAACCCACTTGTTTAACCAAGCTATATGTCATTCCCCTTGTGCCACGGTTGGACGGCCACGCTCATACCCGATGCTTTGGCGTCCGTAAGCGAATAGCGTGCAGGTGCCGTGCGCAGGGACCGGGTTATGTTCGCCCTTGTGAATGTTTAATGCACCGTGAGCCTTATTGCATTACATTGGGCGTATACAAACCGTGACTCACCGGGGCCCCCCTGAGCCTTGTGTGCGTCCTCTCCAAGTGGCGTCTGTGGAGTGACATTTTGCTGCTGCCGGCCCTGGCCTGGCCTGCTCTTCCGTGGGACTCATCTGCGACCAGGTGCGTCGCATCCTTCCTGCGCCAGGGCTTCTGTTTATTCGTTTGGTTCTGTAAAAACCTGCTGTCGGTACTCGAGAAGCTGCGTATTTGCCATGTGGTCCACCGTGTGTGTTCATGCCTCTATTAAAATGGTGGTTAGAATCGTTGTTCTTATGCATTCTTGGTAACCGCATGAACAATTAAAAATAAAACCTGTTAAAAAACGGTTACCGTATAGAGATGTCCAGAGCAATAAACTTAAAGTGTTACCAGTTTAACTGAGAAACAAAGGGAGCTGTCACAGTGGTGTAAAGGGTTTGCGCACTGGACTTGGAACCCAGAGGTTACCGGTTTTATTCCATCTCCCGGCACGGCAGTTGAAACAAATGGTGCTTCAAGTTCCTTAAATCTCATGTGGTGTGGCATGGCTCCATCGCAATCGATCGGCACATAGCTTGTGGTGAGGTCAAGTGGGGGTTCTCCCACGTAATTCTTCAACGACGTTTGGCCGGAGCAGAAGGATAGACCAACTATCGTTCAGAGCAGTGGTTCTCAACTGGGGGTACGCAGAACCCCCCCCGGGGGGGGGGGGGGGGGGGTATGTGGCAATGTCCCAAGAGGTACGTGAGATGATTCATAAATGTGTGAAATTATATCATACATGAGAGTCATTAGTGAATAATCAAACGCATGAATCTGCCAATATAAAATAACGATACATTTTAAATCCACATGGTAACATTGAACGATGTGAAGACCTTAATAAACTCATGGATCATAAACAATGCGGGTTTTCCAAGAGTAGCCAGCGAGCGTGAACAAATTACGTTACGCGTGCAAGGGCGTCCGTTTAATATTCTTTATCCGCTTGCAGTTAGTCGCTTGTTAGGGTACCTCGCAAAATGGACAATTGGTTAAATATTCATGTTCATTATTCATACATTTATTCCTCAGTGCCAAGTTGGGCCAGGCAAGGGGTTATACTAGGTTGAAGCAAATTTAAGCAAGTGGGATATGGTAAAGTCGCCTAACAAAAGGTCGAGAAGCCGCTGCTCCAGAGTTCCATGCGTGAGAAGGCCATGTGAAGGTGGTACCGCTGCACTTGCCGCTGCACTTGCTGCTACACTGCACTTTGTTATCGCTGCACTTTGTTAGCTTTTCTTTGTGATTTCGGTATCCTCTGGTCATTCTTGCAAATCCGTCTATCCCTGGTCTGTCGAGGTCTCACCACCTGGTGACACAAATACACTTGAATTGGGATTGACCCCTGTTATTGAAAGAATGAGGGCAAAATGCAGCACGCAGTGAGTTAGTCCGCCGTCCGGTTTGTGTGTTCGCGCCTGCCAATCGGTTGCACTCATCACTCGCATACCGGTTTACTGGTCGTCGTTTAACTAACCATAATTTTTAACCCATTGCGTGATAATGTAACACTGTTTATTTTACCCACGACACCAAAACGCGCGTGTGTGTGTGTGTGTGCGCGCGTAGTGCGACGTATCCCACGCTGTGCCGGGGCTTGCGAGGCACCGCCACTTGGTCTAATTCCACCGTCACACCGAGCCCGCAGTCATGCCGAGGCACAAGCGCCTTGCCATAAACGAGAGTGACGGTAAGCCGTGCTGCTGCTGCTGCTGGGCTCTGGGTCGACATTGGCACTGGGGCACTGCTGGGGCGGGCATCCAACCACCAAATGTCCCTTTTGGCCCAGCCAGATTCACTACCCTTTGTGGTGAATCATCGCTATGGTGGCCCACCCAGTAGCCTAATCCTCGAGGAGCTGGAGCTGAGCAAGAGTCCTGGTGTGAAACCGATTAACCCTGCAGTCCATGTTCAGTGCCGTTTCCCCGCATCGAAGTACAATACCGTCGTGTTCTCCTATAACGCGGTAGTAGTTGCGTTCCTGAAGTAACACCGCGTTTTGGAAAAATCGCGTTACAATGAATAATATAGGGTAAAGCACAGTCCGCGATAACACGTGATATGCGTACGCATGCTGAACAAAGACTGAGGCGCGTGGGTAGCATCTAGAAGCATCCAGCAGCATCCCGCCTTGTGTGATGCTTGGTCGAGGCAGCCTTACAACCGCTTATTCCTACTCGCAATTCTGCCCTGTACGTGACTCACAATCACAGCCGTGTATGCTAGAGCCAAATCCGAATACAAACTCCTACATTCTGAGAGCATTCAATACGTGATCGCGTGACGCTAAGCTGTCAAGTGAGTATCGCACGAGACATTTGGTGATGCTGCGTTGGAAGGGGGCGCACAAAGCACATTTAACAAAATAAAACATTTGTCAATAACGCCGTGGCCTTAAAATGAAATATATGTGTGTATATATAGAACAGATGACGTTTCAGGCAATAGCCCTTCTTCATAGCACATGAATAGAGAGATAGAGACCACACTTTACACCATGGAGCTTTGAGGATAATTACATATTTAAAATGTTTTTAAACTGGCATATGAATAGTTGCCTAACCGTAGCCATTGAGTAACAGACAAAACCCCTTCAATAATCAAACATATTACTACTAAATATACTCATTTATATTACAAGCAAAATAGTAAAATGTTGTCGGCACATTGCATTGTGGGAATCACAAGGCACAATCCACATCGTAATGTTGTCAATGCACTGACCAACCTATCTCGATGTAAGTAGAGAACCACTGATTACTCTCGAAATAAATCAAACTGTCCTGCCCCTCGTGGTTTGTTCCACTGTTGTGTTCGTGTTTCAAGGCCTTATGATTTGTTGTTGATAGAGCGTCCTTCAACCCGGGGCGTCTCAGAGTGCTTTACACACAATAAGCGACGAACATCAAATGTTGGCAGCTGCCCCTGTAGGCACACGTTAACTCATCACCTGGGCTGCAATCGGAGATGAGTCTGCCAGTAGGGAGCGATTATTGAAATGTTTTAACACAATTGAGTAATGTATTGGTAGTTTTCGAATTTCAAAATCAGAATCTTTATCCTGAAAAAATCCGATGAGCTGTGAAGCTGTTTTTCACAGCTATTCAGCAGTTTTCACAGATGTCCAGCAGAAAATGGCTTACTCCTTTCAAATGACATCAGTGGATTATTAACATCCACTCTGAAACAGACAGCACAATTTATATGGCCAGTACACCCCACAGTAATAACCAGGGCGGTCTGCCAGATTCGAACCACGAACCTCTGCAACGCACTACCGCTGGGCCATGTCACCACGTCAATAAAACACCCAAGAAGCTGCTTTGCCATACGCTTCGACGAACGAAATGACTTGTTGATGTTGCCCTGTGTCCGGCAGTGAGCATTGAGGTTGACGCGAATGAGCAGGGCTCCGACAGCGAGGAGGAGGATGATGACGAGAGCGACGCGGAGCAAGGAGACGGAGCCGTCAACGGGGAGCTGCGCAGCAGCGATAACGAGGACGCTCCCCGTAATCGACGGAAGCGGCCGCCGCCACGCAAGGACGCGAGGGCCCAGCGCAAGGGCAGGAGAGGGCAGGGTCGCGACAGGGGCAGGGGCAGCAAACCGAGGCAGAGGCGTCAGCAGCAGAGCGACGACGAAGACGACTCGGAGGAAGAGGAGGAGGAGGAGCAGAGCGAGGATGAGGACAGCACGGGTGGCAAGCAGCGAGGGAAGAAGGGCAGCAAGAAAGAGAAAGGCAAGAAGACAAATAAAGACGCTTCCAAGTGAGAGTTAAAGCCTACAAACAAAATGTCAGGTTTCAGGAGAGCCACGGCACGTACATTAGAATAACCTCCTTGGAGTACAATAGTTCATCCCATGTTATATTTGGTGCTTGTACATCATCATTTGTACATATCTCTCGGGAGGATACAACATTGACAACAGCAACTAAACATAGACTTTAACGGCGCTATAATGTTGGTATAATTATCATTCCACAAAGCCATACAACCGACTTGTACGTGAATCAGGCCACCTATGTGTTCACACAGTGGTTCTCGTAAATTTGTATAATTTCCCTCTTTTAATTGAAACTCATTCGAGACACCGCTATCCCTTATTCCGCCTTCCCTTTGCGGTGAACTTGTGTGTTGCGCTATCCCTCGCGTTACTGCTCTGAGCCCGTGACTCCGATGCATTCCCGATGTTAGTGACAGCGGTTCGGAGGGTGAGATCTCCCTGTCAGCGGAGGAGCTGGAGAAGCTGATGGAACAGGTGGAAGAGCAAAAGAAGCTCATCAGCACGCTACGGAACAAACCGTGGCGGATGAAACGGCGTCTACAAACACTAAGGTGCCTCTCTATTCTTGGTTCTTTCGGTAAAGTCACGTAGAAGGAAAAGAATAAAATAATTACAAAAATTATCACGACGTTTCGATTGCAACACAAGCAATCATCATCAGGTGTGAAAACCACAGCAATAATTGTATTGTTTTATTTTTATTATTTTAATATTATTTCCCTTCTACGTGACTTTACCGAAAGAACCAAGAATATGAATCCCTGCAGTCACGAAAGCTTTAAAACTAAGGTGCCTCTCCGCATCAAATGCCCAAGGTGTCATTGCGCTGCGTGTTGGAGTGGATGGAGCCAGGGACGCAGCTATGCTTGGGGGTGTGTAGCAGCGTTATGCGACACATGGGGGCCCGGTCAACCACAAGGGGTCCCCGAATAACACAACTACAAACATATTCTTGGTTCTCTCGGTAAAGTCACGTAGAAGGGAAACAATAAAAAAATATACTTGTGTTATATTTTTATTTTATTATTTTATTGTTTCCCTTCTATGTGACTTTACCGAAAGAACCAAGAATATGAATCCCTGCAGTCACGAAAGCTTTAAATCAAAACTACAAACATGTCAAGAAAAACAAATAAATAAATATAAAAATGTGCTCATTAAAAAGTGACTTTACCGAAAGAACCAAAGAGTATAAAAATGACCTGCGGTGTACCATGGACCAAGCCCGACTAACGCATCTGGCTATCGTGCTAACAGAGCAACGTGTGAAGTTGCGCGATCCACCCCCTTTGAGGATATCCTAGACCGATGGGGCCGACATGAAAGCAAGACGCACGATAACTTAATTGCGAGTCGCATTGCACCTTTAAACATTTTTTCTAAATTCATAACTGTCACTGTGAGACTGTCTTCCTCTAAACCCAATGCACGGTGCAACTAAAATATAGTGGTAGCCTACAAAAAAAAACATTCCTAGCTATTCCTATAAAAGTGAGTCGGGAGAAAAGAGAGCGACCCATGGGTTCAGCACCCAGCTCCTACCTCACTGTGATTCATATTCAACGTAAAGCAGTCGGAGTCATTGATGATCCAGTTCTCACCGAGTCACTCCACTCGCTGATTCACTCCACTCACCGATTCACTCCACTCTGTCGCTCACTGGCAGTCAGTCGCCTCCTTGTCCCTCTTCAACCGCTACGACAGTTCCCGTGTAACCTCCACCTAATCTCCATATATGTAAAAGGCAAAGTTGTGATTATGTGTGTCTGTTCAAAATGTTTAGCGTACTTCCCGACATGCAACAAACTTGAAATTTGCCATGTGGGTACTTTCCAGACTGTAGTGTACCGCTTAGCACGCCGCGCTACGAACCCGGCGACCCGAGTTCGATTCCCGCTCACGGCCACCACCGGTGATGATTATTTGAACCGGTCCTGGGCCTCCCCTTGGTCCACTCAGCCTCAAACGAGTAACTGGTGTGGTGTGTGAACATCGCCACTGGGGAGACAAAGGCGGCCGGGCGTGCTGCTGGCCACCCACCCCCTCGTTATTTATATTTCGGAGTGACATGATTTGGGCCAATAACTGCTCGTGCCTAAAACACCCCGACTGTGTGTGTGGGTGAGATACAGCTGAGGACCTGCGATGTGGTGGCATCAGTGGCATCATTGAAATGACCTTGTGACGTGTATATTGTGCAATATACGTTTTTTTCATCTGCAATGAGTGTGGCCTCACAAACGGCCGCTATGATGGCTGTGTTGTTGGGTGGTGTGGCGAGCTGTGTGGTGTGTGACACTGTAGTGAATTCCGTGCTGGCTGTGTTGCAGTTCGTGGTGTTGTGTGTGGGGTGTGCGGTGTGTGTGTGTGGTGTGTGCTGTGACGTTGTGGTGAGTTCCGTGCTGGTTGTGTTGCAGGGAGGCACAGACGTTTGTGGAGAAGTTCGAGGGAGCCCTGGGCAAGGGACGAGGACGGAAACTCTACGCCTACAAGGTGTTAATGACCAAGGTGCGTTATTCAAACAATCGTCATACTATTTGCTTTGATGTCGCGTTCTTCATCACATCACAACTCTTAAAAACACTTATAACTACCATGGAACTCCGATACCCCGTGCTGGTATGTGGGGACCACATCGCAGAACCTGTGATCTGCATCGCACCGCAGAGATGCAACCCAAACAATCCATGGCAGTGTGTTTATTTACGCTGGCGTGGTGTGCCATGGATTAAGGGCAGAAAGGGACCCGAGTGATTCCGCAAAAGACGTGCGGATTATAGGGCAAACGCAACACGTGACTATCAGATAAACTAATCCAAAATAAATGTTTTTTTCTAAGACCCACAATAGTGGAAACATGCCATATGTGTCTATTTAAGGATATTTGCACTTTTGAACGTGTGATATCCAAGTCTAATACATGCAAAATTATTTTCTCTAATCGAATAATGTCAGCACTGCTCCGCTCCTGCAGCATGGCAGTGGATCACGGTTTGTGGCTCCGTAGAAGCGTTTTCACTCGACTGCGGTATGCCATGGAATACGGGAACAGTCACGGACTGCCAACAATCCGCGAATTACAAAGATTCACATTATCGGTCTGATTATTTATATTATTATTGGAGTTCTGCTCTAATCTACGTTTCCCCATGCTCAAACATTGGGGCATCATATATCTCTGCTGACTGCTCAGAATTAGCTGTAGAAATTCCACATCCATATGGCAGGGGCCATTTTATCCATAGAACAACCACTGTAGACATTTCACAAAGTGATGTAACTGACGTTACTGCAATAACACCTTTCTTCATAAAAAATATACTAATTCCAAGCTTGCCCTCGAATTTTAGTTGTTTGATAATGAATGCACAGCCTGGGCGTACGGTGTATGTGCTCGCTGGTTACAGTGAGGGAAAAATGTATTTGATCCCCTGCTGATTTTGTACGTTTGCCCACTGACAAAGAAATTATCAGTCTATCATTTTAATGGTAGTTTTATTTGAACAGTGAGAGATAGAATAACAACAAAAAAATCCAGAAAACCCCATGTCAAAAATGTTATAAATTGATTTGCATTTTAATGAGGGAAATAAGTATTTGAACCCTCTGCAAAACATGACTTAGTACTTGGTGGCAAAACCCTTGTTGGCAATCACAGAGGTCAGACGTTTCTTGTAGTTGGCCACCAGGTTTGCACACATCTCAGGAGGGATTTTATCCCACTCCTCTTTGCAGATCTTCTTCAAGTCATTAAGGTTTCGAGGCTGACGTTTGGCAACTCGAACCTTCAGCTCCCTCCGCAGATTTTCTATGGGATTAAGGTCTGGAGACTGGATAGGCCACTCCAGGACCTTAATGTGCTTCTTCTTGAGCCACTCTTTTGTTGCCTTGGCCGTGTGTTTTGGTTCATTGTCATGCTGGAATACCCATCCACGACCCATTTTCAATTCCCTGGCTGAGGGAAGGAGTTTCTCACCCAAGATTTGACGGTACATGGCCCCGTCCATCGTCCCTCTGATGCGGTGAAGTTGTCCTGTCCCCTTAGCAGAAAAACACCCCCAAAGCATCATGTTTCCACCTCCATGTTTGACGGTGGGGATGGTGTTCTTGGGGTCATAGGCAGCATTCCTCCTCCTCCAAACACGGCGAGTTGAGTTGATGCCAAAGCACTCCATTTTGGTCTCATCTGACCACAACACTTTCACCCAGTTGTCCTCTGAATCATTCAGATGTTCAATGGCAAACTTCAGACGGGCATGCATATGTGCTTTCTTGAGTCGGGGGACCTTGCAGGGCTGCAGGATTTCAGTCCTTCACGGCGTAGTGTGTTACCAATTGTTTTCTTGGTGACTATGGTCCCAGTTGCCTTGAGATCATCGACAAGATCCTCCCGTGTAGTTCTGGGCTGATTCCTCATCGTTCTCATGATCATTGCAACTCCACGATGTGAGATCTTGCATGGAGCCCCAGGCCGAGGGAGATTGACAGTTCTTTTTGTGTTTCTTCCATTTGCGATTAATCGCACCAACTGTTGTCACCTTCTCACCAAGCTGCTTGGCAATGGTCTTGTAGCCCATTCCAGCCTTGTGTAGGTCTACAATCTTGTCCCTGACATCCTTGGAGAGCTCTTTGGTCTTGGCCATGGTGGAGAGTTTGGAATCTGATTGATTGATTGCTTCTGTGGACAGGTGTCTTTTATACAGGTAACAAGCTGAGATTAGGAGCACTCCCTTTAAGAGTGTGCTCCTAATCTCAGCTCGTTACCTGTATAAAAGACACCTGGGAGCCAGAAATCTTTCTGATTGAGAGGGGGTCAAATACTTATTTCCCTCATTAAAATGCAAATCAATTTATAACATTTTTGACATGCGTTTTTCCGGATTTTTGTGTTGTTATTCTGTCTCTCACTGTTCAAATAAACCTACCATTAAAATTATAGACTGATCATTTCTTTGTCAGTGGGCAAACGTACAAAATCAGCAGGGGATCAAATACTTTTTTCCCTCACTGTAAATGTGAGCAGCTGGGCACATTACTGCAAGGTGCCTCGCAGTGGCAATTCTGTGGCACGTCCAGCATGTGATGTGGCGTAAGTGTAGTGGAGTAGGAAGGTGTGCGCGGGAAACTACGCGAGTGTATTGATCACACGGACAGTGTGGGGTTTATCTGGGGTCAGCCTGAGGAGACGGCGGAAACAGTGGGGTCGTGTGAGGACAGCCAGGTGAAGAGGCTGGGGTGATGAGGTAACGGTCGGGCCAATTAAGCCAGAAGGGCTGTGATTGGTTGGTGCTGTTGCTGGGGCCGAGGAGGCGTCGAGGTGTCTGGAAAAAGGGAGGTGGTTGAAGACGCGAGGCGTGCGGAGGCACGCGGACCAATTAATTAGCGATAATGAGATTGGGGATAAATTTGGGGGGAGACAGAGAGAGAGATGGGAGTTGGGAGCTGTGTGGTGAAGACGTGGAGTTCGGAAACAGAGTTTAGTAGAGAGTTGGAGCATAGTGATAGCGAAGACGAAGCAGTTAGCAGTGGAGAGAGCATAGTGATAGCGAAGCCGAAGCAGTTAGCAGTGGAGTGAGCATAGTGATAGCGAAGCCGAAGCAAGACGAAGCAGTTAGCAGTGAAGTGAGCATAGTGATAGCGAAGCCGAAGCAAGACGAAGCAGTTAGCAGTGGAGTGAGCATAGTGATAGCGAAGCTGAAGAAGACGAAGCAGTTAGCAGTGGAGTGAGCATAGTGATAGCGAAGCTGAAGCAAGACGAAGCAGTTAGCAGTGGAGTGAGCATAGTGATAGCGAAGCTGAAGCAAGACGAAGCAGTTAGCAGTGGAGTGAGCATAGTGATAGCGAAGCTGAAGAAGACGAAGCAGTTAGCAGTGGAGAGAGCATAGTGATAGCGAAGCTGAAGCAAGACGAAGCAGTTAGCAGTGGAGAGAGCATAGTGATAGCGAAGCTGAAGCAAGACGAAGCAGTTAGCAGTGGAGTGAGCATAGTGATAGCGAAGCTGAAGAAGACGAAGCAGTTAGCAGTGGAGAGAGCGTAGTGATAGCGAAGCTGAAGTAAGACGAAGCAGTTAGCAGTGGAGTGAGCATAGTGATAGCGAAGCTGAAGAAGACGAAGCAGTTAGCAGTGGAGAGAGCATAGTGATAGCGAAGCTGGAGACGAGGTGTGCGGAGACAGAGAAGTGAGATTCGGTTTCGCTGTGTGTGCGACGACGCTGTATAGCGGAGGAGCTGAGGAGGACAGCCAGCAGTGGAGAGAGCGTAGGAATAGAGGAGTTGAAGACGTGTGTGCGGAGCAAAGCGACGTGATACTGTGAACCAAGGTGGTGAGAGAGACGGGCGAAGCATGGCGAGCGAGCCGCGGTGTCCAGGATACGGTGGAGTGTGGAGGACGTGTTTAAACGATGAAAATAAAGAAGTGGTTGAAGAAACACAAAAGTTGTTAGTGTGAAGTTCAACCACTACATAAGGAATGTACTGCGTTTGTGTTTGTTGCATTCCCCTCTTACAAAGACCAGGTCCGGTTTTTTTTTATGGCGGCGTGGTTGTTACAGGTGTTGTTATCTTAACACACAGGTATTCGCACTCGATATTATGATTCTTTATTTACTCGCTGAGTTTAGGCCACGTAGTGATCTGGCCAATTAGGACTAGTTGTAAAACTCTCCACCCCTCAACGTAGTCCAACAATTTAAGTTATCGTGTGTAGAAGCCTGACAATGATCGCCGTGTAAACACTTGTGCATATGACAAATTTCATTTATTTGGCTATGTCGGGTGGTGTGGGGATTCGCGACAAAAATGTAGCCAGATCATTATGTGGCCCGACCTAAACTGAGTTTTGAATCGGGTATTGTTGGGGTTTGTCAAATTCACTGAAGACTGACATGGGCTTTGTGCCTAAAACATTCACCCACATTTAAAGAGAACTGGAAAATGGCCGACAAGCATCGCCTTTTGGTTACTAAACACCTAGACCGGGTATTGTTATGGGCAGCATGTTGTATATCATTAACGATATTTCACATCGGATATTGATGCGTGCAGAGCATGGCTGTGAAGTGTGAGTGAGGGGAAGAGGAAAAGGGTGAGAGGTACGTGGCTGATGGTGAGAATAAGGATGTGTTTGTGAGATACTATTAGGAATCAATGTGGTGAGTTGAGCAAGTGAAATATTTTAATAGAACAAGTTATCCTCATCATGAACCAGAACGATTTTTAAAAAAGGGCATTTGAGACGGGAGTGCTATCTTTATTGCTGTATGGATCAGAGAGATGGACACTTAACTAAGCAACTTGAAATAAAGTTTCTAGCATTTGAGCACAGGTGTTTGTGATTTATGCGAAGAATTCTGTGGCGAGACAGGATACACAACGCAAAAGTCCAGAAGAGACCCGTGGCAGGTCATTGGTGGAAAACTAATTAGCCAAAACGAGCTACGCTGGGTGAGACGTGTGTGCGGGTTGGGAGGGCCCAATTGCCGAGGCAGGGATTGTAGTAGGCTCCTTGAGTCCTATGACCAAGCGGAAGAGAAGACCTAAGAGCAGAGGGTGGGAAACTGCCAGAGTAAATGATGAAAAATAAGAATAAGGTTTTACCCGTTCTGGTAATAATATAGGTATATTCTTAGCTCTTTCGGTAAAGTCGCGTTGAAGGGAAACAATACAATAATATAAAATATATATAAACAATGAAAATTCTCACGACGTTTCGACCATAACACAAACGGTCATCATCAGGTGTGAAAACCAACGGCAAGGAACATTTGAAAGTAGTGGCGGTTTTTTAAATGTTTCTTGCCGTTGGTTTTCACACCTGATGATGACCGTTTGTGTTATGGTCGAAACGTCGTGAGAATTTTCATTGTTTTATATATATTATTTTATTGTTTCCCTTCAACGTGACTTTACCGAAAGAGCTAGGAATATGAATTACTGCAGTCACGAAAGCTTTAAATAAAAAAATAAAATAGGTGTTATAAGACTTGTATCTGTTTTATTGCCAGATATGTTAAAACCTATTCTTATTTTCAGCATTTTTTTATACTGGTAAAAAGTTCTCATAGATGTCAGGGTAAATCTCGGAGGTCGATGTGTGTCTCCTGTGCAGAAGTTGCGGGATCTGGCAGAGGGTAGAGAGCGTTGGTACCGCATTGCAATGACATCAACGGCTTTGGCCTCGATGACGTCTTGATGTTGAAACTCGACTTAACCAATGACGTGTTTGCTGGCACCGTGGTTCCACAGAAATGGATGAAATTCAAACGGGATTTTGAGAATTTTCGTACGGCTTGCATTCCTTGGGAGATGAAGATCAAGGAGATTGAGAGTGAGTCAAAACACATCGTGCACAGCTTCTCTCAACACTATACATTTTTGTGTATCCATAACACGATAAAAACTAAAACATTGCCCTGCATGCTGCCTTAAGAACGATTAAACAACACAGGTGAATGTGTGCACAATCTTGTCAGGCCCATATACAATGTATGTTTGTGTTCATGCTTGAGTGTGTGCGCCTGTGTGTGTGTGCCCTGGAAGGTCATTTTGGCTCATCGGTTGCATCCTATTTCATCTTCCTGCGCTGGATGTACGGCATAAACATGGTTCTCTTTGGTCTGACCTTTGGCTTGGTTATGGTGCCCGAGGTACGTATAATGGGCTATTGCTGTTATGTACATAATTTAAATTCTTACATATTGTATGCATGTCATTTGCTTTGTGTGTAGTGTGTGTGTTTTATGGAGGCCTAATGCACTGTTATAATATAACTAGCAGACTATATACCTCTTGTCCATATATTTATCTGCACATAAAACAAGGTATTTTTGACTCATCCCATCAGCCACATGGACATCTGAGAGTGTTTTTTTTTCTTTTCCCAGCAGCATTTGTTTAATACAAGCAGTCTCTGGACCAGTTTCAACATTCACCGTCTCATCATGCATACGTGTACGTGCTCTGTTTGGTGCATGTAGGCATTGATGGGCCGACCTTATGGCAGCATGCCACGCAAGGCCGTTCCCCGAAACGACTCTGCAACCGCCATGAACTTTGCCACCCTGTGGAATTTTATGGTATGTGCATTTTGGAGTGTCGTGTGTGTTATGCCCGTGTCTGTGCTGATTAACGGGTGCAGCAAGTGTGAGTGTGTGTGATCTCGTTGGTTTAGTCAATTAGTGGACAATCTCTGAGCTCAGCTGCTGTTGTCGTTCTTAAGGGCACATGGTGCATGTTTAACATGCACATAATTGTGCCACACTATTGTGCCGGTTATTTTATCGGAAGTTTGCGCGGTCACTGTGGAATATTGCTCGGGCTCCGATGGGCGAACGTGTCCCTGTGGGTGCGCGGTCCCATCATCATTTTCTCTCGCCTTGTCCTAGAGTGTGTTTTTTCCTCCACATTTAGAATCAACATGCATTGAGAGTATGTGTCTGCTATAAGTGTCCAGTGGGGCCTTACCTGGTAAAATAAAAATGAGTTTAGTTTTCCCTTTTCCCGTGTCTGGCCCAAGCGCAGTTTTCCTGTTTTGGATCACCATAATTTCACATGCCTTGTGCAGTGAGGCCTGGCTGCAGCTTCTCTCAGATCGGTAGTGGGGGGGGCAGGAATGCTGGATTGTGTGGGCAACCATAACGGTGATTCACCACCCAGGAGAGTGGCCTGGGTTGAGCCAAAATTACACTTGGTGGTGCAGGGGTCTATCTCAGCACCCACGTCGCCCCAGGCCCTGATTAACCTTTGTTTTGTCACGTGTGTACATTTGAAGTCACAATCAACAATTCAGTTTGTCAGACACCACAATTAAAATTAATTAAATCTCACAGTAATATTTGTTTTGTGCGTGCACCTAATGCATTCTGACATTGCAAGCCCGTGTGTTCTGCTTTGCGTGGGGTGTTGTTCTCTGTTCTGGGTGTGTGTCTATGTGTGGTCGCTTGGGATCAATATTTACCAGCGGGGTTGTTGTTGTTAAACACCCGGTGCGTACACTCGCACCAGATGAATCACGGGAGTGTTGTGCGAATATATCTACACTCGGTGTAAATTCATGACCGTGTGTGTAAATCGGTTCCCGTTTCGCAGGGCCTAGCGCAGTACTCGGTGCTGTTCTGCGGTTATTATGACAACCAGCGCCAAGTGGGCTGGCTCAAGTACCGCCTGCCGCTCGCTTACTTCTTAGTGGGGCTCGGCTGCTTCGCCTACAGCTTCATGGTGCTCATTCGCACGTAAGAGGCGCCGAGAAGTCGCCACCACCCCCCCCCCCCCCCCCCGGTAATGCGCCGACAACACCCTGGCAATCGCCAGCCCATCAGTGTCAGTGCTCTACACAGAAGAATCCTTTCATTTTGGAGTGAAATAATACGGAATATGTAGCCAACGAATCCATGTAATAATAATACATGTATTAATTTATCATTAGTAATACGCAGTTTTCATGCACTCTTAGAGAGAGGAAGATTTCAAAGGCGTGGGAACCACATACAAGCCGGAAAACAGCCAGAACCGGTGCCAACAATTATTGCCCAAACCCTATGGTCCTACATTGGGATGTTTGACCAACTCCATTAATGTATCATAATTAAATTTTTATTTAAAGCTTTCGTGACTGCAGGGATTCATATTCTTGGTTCTTTCGGTAAAGTCACGTATTGTTTCCCTGCTACGTGACTTTACCGAAAGAACCAAGAATATGTGTCATAGTTAGTTAGTTTTGAGTTAGATTATGTCGGTATAATACCAATTTTAAGTTATACCCTCGGTCACCTGACAGCCAATCAAATCAAGTTGTCACGTGGGCAAATATATAATTTTCAGGAAATCTCCGGATTGTTCAACAGCAAGCAATATTTTGATTTAAAGCTTTCGTGACTGCAGTAATTCATATTCTTCGTTCTTTCGGTAAAGTCACGTTGAAGGGAAACAATAAAATAATATAAAATATATGAAACAATAAAAATTCTCACGACGCTTCGACCATAACACAAACTGTCGTCATCAGGTGTGTCGGTTTGCATAAATTTATTTATTTTTAAACGGTGTATTTATTTATAAAAAACGTTAGCGACACGCGCAGCGATTTGGCAGTTTATTTAGAAGGACTAGTCCATCTATGTTCTGAAAAGAGGAGGGGGACACGAAAAATTGAATGTATGCTGTCTGAAAGCCACTGTAAGCGTGAACAATCAATTAAGACCTGAAATGGTTTATCAAATCTTTCCAATGATTGCTAAGCCAGAATCCATCTTCTCGGTTGAAATTGTCTCTGTGCTTGTATATGTGGATAGCCTCATGAACGAATCTCTCATGGTAGCCAGATGGCTTACAAAGAACCTCTGTCTTGGAAAAGTCAATGTCATGTGAGCCTACTGAATTATAACAATGATCTGCCACGGCCGAGGTGTTGGTCCTACCGTGTTTAAGGTCTGCTTTGTGTTCACGAATGCGGTCCCAGACATGGCGTTTGGTTTCTCCAATGTAACTACTACCACAGAGGCAACTTAGTTTGTAGACACCAGGGTATTGTATGTCCGGAATCACATCTTTTACAGACGGAACCAGATCACGGATTTTATGTAATGTGTTGAAACGGACCTGGATCTTGTGTTTATTCAAGATTTTGGAGATCTTTTTTGTGATCCCCGCAATGTAGGGTAAAGTGATGGTTTTGAAAGGCTCCTCACCTCTGCGGTACAAAATTCTACTCACCTGGTATCGACAATCAAGGGTATTTCCCTGTCCCCAGACGACCTGCTTGTCAGTTTTGATGTAGTTTCCTTATTCACCAAGGTTCCTGTACCTGACACCATCGCAATCATTGAAGACTTGGTTCATCAAGGACTAAACACTGAGGTACCCCCCCCTGGTGAGACACTGTTTAACCAATACATACTTCACTTGGAATGGAACTTTCTACAAACAAACTGAGGGCACCCCAATGGGCTCCCCCCTATCTCCGGTTATAGCTAACATTTTCATGGAGAAATTTGAGACTGACGCCATCCAGACTGCCACTCTGCGCCCAACCTTATGGAAGAGGTACGTGGATGACACTTTTGTCATCTGGCCACATGGCCGGCCTGCTCTAGACCAATTCTTCGCCCACATCAATTCCATACACCCAGCCATCAGATTTACCATGGAAGTCGAAAAAGATGGCAAGCTACCTTTTTTGGATGTCCTAATTAAAAAGAGACCTGATGGTTCAATGAGCCACTCAGTCTACTGGAAAGCTACCCATACGGATGCTTATCTGAAACCGGATTCCCACCACCATCCATCACAGAAGAATTATCTCATCAAGACTCTGTATCATAGAGCCCAATGCATATCCGACCAGGAACACATAGGCAGTGAACTCAAGCACGTACACCAAGCTCTTAAGGCTAATGGTTACTCCGACTATACAATTCGCAAAACTATCACTCAAACCATGAAGGACCCTCTTGAGGAGCCTTTCAAAACCATCACTTTACCCTACATTGCGGGGATCACAAAAAAGATCTCCAAAATCTTGAATAAACACAAGATCCAGGTCCGTTTCAACACATTACATAAAATCCGTGATCTGGTTCCGTCTGTAAAAGATGTGATTCCGGACATACAATACCCTGGTGTCTACAAACTAAGTTGCCTCTGTGGTAGTAGTCACATTGGAGAAACCAAACGCCATGTCTCGGACCGCATTCGTGAACACAATGCAGACCTTAAACACGGTAGGACCAACACCTCGGCCGTGGCAGATCATTGTTATAATTCAGTAGGCGCACATGACATTGACTTTTCCAAGACAGAGGTTCTTTGTAAGCCATCTGGCTACCATGAGAGATTCGTTCATGAGGCTATCCACATATACAAGCACAGAGACAATTTCAACCGAGAAGATGGATTCTGGCTTAGAAATCATTGGAAAGTTTTGATAAACCATTTCAGGTCTTAATTGATTGTTCACGCTTACAGTGGCTTTCAGACAGCATACATTAAATTTTTCGTGTCCCCCCTCCTCTTTTCAGAACATAGATGGACTAGTCCTTCTAAATAAACTGCCAAATCGCTGCGCGTGGCGCTAACGTTTTTTTTTATAAATAAATACACCGTTTAAAAATAAATAAATTTATGCAAACCGACACACCTGATGACGACCGTTTGTGTTATGGTCGAAACGTCGTGAGAATTTTTATTGTTTTATATATATTTTATTATTTTATTGTTTCCCTTCAACGTGACTTTACCGAAAGAACTAAGAATATAGCAAACGATATTTTGACAATTTTGAACGATGTTTCATGGGAAATTATATACAGCATCATCAGGTGTTAACAGAAACTCAGCTCTCCCATGAATGAGCTTCCTGATCCAGGTCCTTAAGTATGTGACGGTTCGTCATAGTAAACTGGGGGTACAAATATCTGCGGGTACAAATATCTACCAAACATTTGCATTGCATGGTGGCCACCCTTGTAGCGATTCCACGTTTGTGCATCTTTACTCACTGTACAGTGCACCATTCTGCAGGTGCATTTCTGCAAACAAAGTGCTGTACAGTAAGTCCTCGTTGAACGGGGTAGATACGTTTCCTGAAAAGTTCCGCATTAAAGGAAAGTGATTTCCCCCCAAAATAATGTAACGATGAAGTTTGGCGAGACACTACGGTGTATGCACACAAAACGATATGGCAGGACAAATAAAGGAGGGTACGCCGCCGTGTTACTGTATCACTCCGCGTACAGTATCGTACTGCTCAGTCACACAGCTCAAGAAAGTAGTTTGTCGTCGACCGCTCAGAAACGGGGTCACAATGGGTGCGTTCCGCGTTTTGACGGGTCATGTTCTGCATTATGAGAAAAGTGTTTCACCGAATGGAAGAGCTACGTTATCGCGAAAACGCGTTACGTGAACACGCATTAAGCGAGGACTCACCGTACGTGCGTCACTGCAGTGTGATTGCATGCAACTGTAATCACAACACACGTGACGTGTAATCGTATGTTCTTAAGTTGATTTGCGTGCGGTTGGGTTGGGTGGCTGTGCTCCTGCCCACGGTGTGTGCCGTGCTTCAGGATGGCGCGCAATGTCCATGAAAGCCAGGGCGGAGAGGGCGACGATAACTTCAACTTCAGCTGGAAGATGTTCACCAGCTGGGACTACCTAATCGGAAACCCGGAGACCGCCGACAGCAAGATTGCGTCCACCACCACAGTGTTTCGGGTACGTAACGATAGCATCCTTGTGGACTGATGCAATTGCTAGAACCTGTGCAACTTAATTTATTCAGACAATGCCCAAGAAGCGCGCGAGCGTGCGCACGCTAGCAGAGCGCGTGGTGGGACTGACACGATCGGTGAATCTTGCCCTTGCATGCCGTCGGCCTACGATGTTGCTCTGCCAGTGGCGACATTGCACCCCCGGATTGCCAGATGGTGGTTTTCTAATGAAATAAATTTCATTGTTAAAAAAATATATTTATTTCGGCCACTTAGGCAGCCCTGGTGATCTCCCTCCTTGTCTTTCTCCCATCCCTTCAAAGTCGCAACCTTGGAGTCTTTTTTGACAATAACCTCTCCTTTGAACACCACGTAAAACAAATCACCAGAACTGCCTTTTTTCACCTCGAAAACATCTCCAGACTTCGCCCATCACTCTCTTTCTCCGCTGCAGAAACCCTCATCCACGCCTTCATCACCTCCATAATCGATTACTGCAACAGCATCCTATACAGCACTTCAACCAAAACATTAAATAAACTCCAGTACATCCAGAACTCTGCTGCTCGTCTGCTCACTCACACCCGCACTGGTGACCACATTACCCCTGTCCTCCGGAACCTCCATTGGCTCCCGGTCCCACAACGAATTAAATTCAAAATCCTCCTCCTCACACATAAAGCCCTTCATAACCAGGCCCCTTCCTACCTCACTGACCTGCTCCACCGCCACAACCCATCCCGTAGCCTTCGCTCATCTGACGCCAACCTCCTGACTCCACCTCTCAGAACCAAGCGTCGAACCTGGGGCGACAGAGCCTTCTCTATAGCTGCCCCCTTGCTTTGGAACTCTCTCCCAAAACAAATCCGTGACTGCACCGACCTTCCAGCGTTCAAATCATTGACTAAAACGCACCTTTTTAAAATTGCTTTTAATGTTTAGCTAAGTTTGATGTGTTTTTAGTGTTTTTACCATTTGATGTTGTTTTTGCTGCTTTTATGATTTTATGTAAAGTGTCTTTGAGTATTCAGAAAAGCGCTCACAAATAAAATGTATTATTATATTAGTATTATTCATTTGTTAAGTTTTACGAATGTGTCTTTTGCATAAACCAACACAAAAAAATGTACGCTCGTAAATATGCCTTCTGTTCTGTACACTTGTAAGAATGGGAACTACCGTAGTTTATCCTAATGAATGGCTCTTTCCGAGATTTCCTCGGCTGCATCATGCGATAGTCTCGGAAAACATAAACGTTTATACTAAATTCAAAACATTTTTTGTTATTTTACCAGGTAAGGCCCACTGAGCTATATACATAGCTCTTTTTCAGAAGCAACCTGACCACAAATGATATCACAAATGAAGTGGCTTATCATGTGGAAATGTATAGCAGTCAAATACTCTAAACACATGTTTCTAAATGTGGATGGAAAACCCGGAGAAAAGTCCACGCGACCACAGGGAGAGAGACACGCAAACTCCAAATATGCAGGAGTCAGGGTCGGGATTGAACTCACGGCCTCCTGTATACCAGGCGAGAAAATTAAGATCTTGCCACCACAGCGCCCTTGGTCAAATTCCTTGGTCAGATTTCCACCGGATGCCCAAGTACCCTTAAACGAGTACCTCGTGCAGAATGTAAACATCAGCACTGGGGTGACAAAGGCGGTCGGATGTGGTGCGGAGGACACTACACCCTCCTGTGCTGTGTTCCAGCATTAACCTGGTGTTCGCAAACAGCACTTGTGCAACAACCTGTGTAGGCCACACTGTCGGTTCTTGTTTTCTATCTTTGCCACGGTGTATAAGTGTTATGCAGATTTGTCTTTGTGCGCATGCAGGAATCGATAGTGGAGGAGCAGGAGAATCGCAAGGAAGAGAATGTCCATCTCCAGCGCTTCCTGAGAGTACTGGCCAACTTCCTCATCGCCTGGTCACTTGCGGGCAGCGGCTACCTGATCTACTACGTCGTCAAGCGAGCACAAACGTTCTCACGCAATGGATGGGACAACTACGGGTGGTGGGAGCGCAATGAAGTGAGCACACATCGGCTCACCGTCATCAGCAGCGTCATTCTAATATTGCACATTCATAACCGTTGTCATCTGTCTGGGTTCGGTTCAGACATTCCTAGTGGTGGAACTGGCGGGGGCAAGTGACGGGAGAAATGCCTCCTCCTTCAGACCCTGAAAAGTTGTATTTTTTTTTATAATTACGAGCAAAATTTCATTAAATGTTTTTATTTTATGTATAATGTAGAGCCCTATGAAAAAAATCTTGAAATGTTGGGGCCACACTCTTGCCTTTGGATATTTCTAGATATGCCTCTGTGCAGTCCGGGAATTTGCATCTGCGCTTAGGTGGCAGGAATTGATTTGTACCAAAGTCCGGTACCAGTATCGTGTTGAACTTTATTGCGGTATATCGCACAGTTTTGATAGTTTGAAAAGTATGCCCGGGTTTAGTCTGCGCAAAAGGTGGCATCTGTACTTTGTAGCCTTATTTTACTTTACAAGAAGAGACACCTCAATAGCCTCTCTTTGGTAGACACAATGGGATTGATGGATCACTTATTAGTTCGTGAACGTGAAGTCGTCACGTGCTTTTCAGCTCTCACCTGGTTAAACAAATGATACTAATAATATAGGGTTTTTTGGGAGTTAGATCGCGGAAATATAAATCTGTCGTTAAACCCGCCACCACCCGACACAGCCAATTAGTAAGGTTTGTCACGTAAACAGAACACTCCGTTACTAGTACAGCACACCGGTGTGTTGGAGAGCAAATCCACAACATTTACAACCTGAGTACGACGTTTCACTACTAATTACAACTAGCTTCATCAGGCGACAGCCAGATTTGTGGAGAAATCCTCTTGTTCCGTTCCTTAAATAGAGGGATAGATGTGATGACGTTATTTGTGAGCCCAACTTACACTAACCTGGCATGTTTAGGATTTTTAGGATTCATTGTAAATTACCAACATTCAGAGAGAATGCAGTGATATTAGAATTATTAGTGATAGTATAATTATAGCATATCAGGGGAATTTAGTTCTGCCACCTTTTATACAGACGAAACCCGGACATATTTCTCAGTCAGCCGAGGCTATCAAACTCTGGCAGGCTACCCTGATTAATACTGCGAGTGTATTAACCATGGAATTTGTGCCATCTATTGTACAGTGGATGATAAAGATTCCGTGACTTGTATTATATGTTGAACTTCTTTTGCATCGTACGTAGCCAACTGTGCGAATCGGAGTTGCGAGGGAAGGATAACAAAATAAACACAAAAAGCAGTTCTAAAGAAATGAGATTTCAATCTTGATAATGATTTAAAAGTGCATAGCTCAAGTGGCTTCCTAATATCGGAAGGAAGAGCTTTCCAGATGTCCGCAGAAGCGCATCTGAAAGCGCGCGATGAGGTGACCGTCTTTGTTTGATGGTTAGCCAACAGCTACTCCAAGCATGACCAGAGTTCGCATGATGGTTTATGCTCCTTGACGAGATCACCAAGGTATTGTAGTCCATTTGTGGCAAGCACTTTGTGTGTAATGAGCGAGACCTCATAAAGTAGTCAGTTGTGTGCTGGCATTATAGTCCGCATTTAAAAAAGATAAACATTTGCCTGAAAATTACTCAATGTGAGATTGCACGTGGCAATCATCGCCCACCACCGACAGACCAATGCCCAATTGTAGGCCGATGCTGAGTCACCTTGTGCCACACAGGGATGGCTGCCACTAGGGGGGTCCCCCTTTGAATCGTTGAGATAAGATGTGACGTCAGGCGCTTTGGGTTTCTTAGGCAATTAAGCAAGTGCCCTGAATATGCAAATGTTATACGTATATATATATTTTTTGTATTACGATGGCTGTTATTCTGGCTTGTTGAGTCGGTGGTGATGTGTACCAATGTTGGGCAGGTGAACGTGGTCATGTCGCTCTTGAGCATGTTTTGCCCGGCGCTCTTTGACATGATCGGGGAGTTGGAAAACTACCACCCCCGTATCGCCCTGCGGTGGCAACTTGCCCGCATCTTCGCTCTTTTCATGGGCAACCTGTACACTTTCATCATCGCCCTCATGGACGAAATCAACAACAAGGTAAGGGCTTGGCACATGGGGTTGCCACCTTTTGCACTATAGAACAAATCCGGATGTATTTCACAGTCAGCCAAGGTCTATCACAACGGTGCAGTCTCCTGCAATACAATTAAATTAAATGCCACCACATTTCTGCACAAATCGGTTCCTGCCATACAAACACAGATTCCCATTTACTGGACTGTCCAAGTCTAACCCAGACAAATGGAAGCCCTCGTGGCCCAGCAACGAACACACACAACAAACAAAGCCTTCATGCGCAGCACTTTGCTGGTTGATATGAATGTGACACGAAAGCAGCTAGGTGAACAATCACCAAAATGTAACGTTTCATGATACAAATGTTACATCTCACAATGCAATGATTATTGCACGATAAGTTCTCCGTAACTTTGTCGCTGTATTTCGCACTTTTTTATCGTCTTGTTTTTGTACTTTTATCTTTAGTTATTTTAAAGTACGTTAACCTAAAATTAGCCTGCCAATAGTCGACTAATCATTGCAATTGTACACTGTAATGCTTATATTGCACACTCTGTCACAAAATTATGACATCATCCCTATGACGTCAAAGCGCTCATTTAATGGGTATCAACTTTTTTTTGAGAACTTTAGTCATCATGCAAGTTCATCATTATTATTTCATAATTATTTTGCCAGGAGATTAAATAGTTTAGAAAAAAATGTATAAGAAACAATAATCATAGTATGAATATTTTGCTAAACGGATGATATGTTTATTGTGGACCTTGGATTGTACAACATAACGTAGTATCGCCAAAAAAACATCGAACTAGGATGGAATTCCGCACAAAAACAAATCCATTGTGGCTGTAATCTCGGGAACGGTGACAGACTACAAACCACTGTTCACAACCGTGAAAAAAAGGAAACTGCCATGATTTGAACACGTGGCACGAAAGGGGGTGTCTATCCAACACATTCTTACAGGGCATGGTAGAAGGGAAAAGAATGAGAGGACACAACCCACTATCAATGAACGACAAATGTGGGAACGTGGACTGACAAGCCAGCTCAACACCTTACATAGATTGCAGGCGACTGGCAAATATGAGAATTGACAGCCGAGGAGGCATCAATGGCACCCCCCGCTCCCCCCCCCCCCCCCCCCCCCCAATGACCACTGCAGTACAGGGACAGATGAATGAAGATGACAGATTCCACACGTCCCTGCAGATCTAAATGTGAATGTGGGGCACGTGCAACACACTTCATTACCAGCTCCCTGATGCAACTTCCACGTGTAGTAATTCACCGATTGTGTCTTTCTCCCTCTGCGAGCAGCTGGTGGAGGAAAGCAAGCTTCGAAATTCGACTCAAATGCAATTCATCTTGCACCCATTCTACCCCGTGGTGCTAAACGGCACGCTGGCAGAGAACGCCACGATGCCCCCGCCCATACCCATTGATCCCATGGACATTCCGCGTGGGCCCTGCTGGGAGACCATGGTGGGGCAGGTAAGCTACAAGAGGTCGTGGGTTCGATCCTGACCCCTGAAAACGCGTGCTATATATGTTTAGTTTGCATGCTCTCTCTCTCTCCCCGTGGTCATGTGGATGTTATCTGGGTCCTCAGGTTTTTCCCTCCAAATTCAAAATCAATGTCACGCATTTAGAGTGTTTGGCTGCTATACATTTCCACGTGATGATCAGCCACTTCGTTGAGCTCTCATTTTTGGGCAGGTCGCTTCTGATAAAGAGATATATAAGCTCAGTGGGCCTTGTCTGGTAAAATAAAAAAAATAGTTTATATTTGTTTTGTTAAAGCGGTGTTCTACCGACCCCACATATAGACCTCCATTACCTTTTGGAAAAGTCGGTTGATCACTTCCCACTCGAATTAGCGTTGAGGTGGTGCTCATTTCCTGCTTGCTTACAAGCCTTGAGCCGATGGTGGAAATTCCACATTGCTATGGTAGTGGGTCAGTCTATCCAGAGCACAACCACTGTTGACTTGTACGCAAAGTGGTACTCATTTTTTGAAACTTTGCAAGGATGATTCATTATTAAATTTATAACACACGCAAATTTAATGCAAAAAGGACACTCAGGGGCACAGGAGAATATAAATGAAAGATCGTGAGAAGTGTTCAGATTCTGACAAAAAGTCGACACCGACGCCGTGAGAGAAGAGGAGGGAGTGAACTCCAGACAACCACAGTTGTGACAGAGAACCGACGGTGACCTTGTCCGGTTCCAGAGATGATGGGCTTAACGAGGAGGAGGCCACTTAAGGCAAATCGGAGATTGGAGGCCACTTGAGGCAGATTGGATACAGCAGAAGCTAAATCGGCCGGTTGGCCCAGCATGTTTGTGCTGTGTAACAGACGACGGAAACTTTGTGCAGGATGCATTGTTGAACTGGTGGGCTTAGACAACCCCCAACCAGGATTTGAACTCGCAAGCTTCCAATTGTGAGTCGTTGACTCTGCTGCTGAGTCCACTTGGCTGGTTAGACTTGAATTGTGGAGAGCCTGTGAGATTTAGCAACACACAAAGGGTGTACTAACAGACAGCAAGAAGTTTCAACTCTCATCATGCTTTGCATGTGTAGTGTGGGTTTTACGAGAGTGGAGACAGACGGTAAGAGGCAACACGTTTATTAACAATTGCTACGATACAGCACGTAGCAAACCCTAACACTTGAAGGGGTAACGGCCCCTTTACCCGCTGCCTAAGGAGGCACCGCCTCCGGACTGACGTGCCCTACTACTGGGGTTAAGGTTCTCTGGGTCCTCCGGCTAAGGGTGACCTAGGGGAGGCTATTCTGACCTGACCCAGCCAAGGTACAGGTCCCGACTACTGGGCCGCTCGTTCCTGGCCCTTACAAGGACGTCGGGCCCCGAGGGTTCCAGGGTCGCACCACTGGCCCACTCAGACCCGGCCCTTACAAGGACGGCGGGTCAGGGGAGTCCCAGGGTCCTGGCTAGCTGGGCTTCAGTCTTCAACTGGCTGCCCGAGCCGTCCAGAGGTCCGGCTTTTATACAGCTCCGGAGGCGTGCCCGCTCCTGGCCACGCCTCCCTTCCAGAGAGTTCCAAGGGGGGTCCCGGGGGATCCTAGCACACCCCGCAGCCCCCCCCCCCCCCCCCTTGCCCCGGAGCTGGGGAATCTAGCGGCCCCTATCCCGGTCCGCGGAATTGCCCCTGGTGGACCCCGTCTGCAACTGCAGGTAAGTAGCGCGACCCATTAAGCATATATAGCCCTATTTACAGCGCTACACATGCATGTCATGTGATCACCACATTTCAATTGCAATGCTTTCTGCCTTATCTAGATCAAAAGAGCCAAACATGTGGCTTAGTTATTCTTTGGCATATTCCTGTTGTGATGGATTTTCATCACCATTTACAGGGAGTGTTGGATTTGAATAAATACGCCTGCGTGCTAATTGTTTCGTGTTAGCTGTCATTGTTATGCGGCTTCTAATGCTAAGCTTGTGAGCAATTAACCGAAAACGGCTGAATGTGCGGGATGTGTGCAGGAGTTTGTGCGACTCACCGTGTCGGACACCCTGACGACTTACGTCACTATCCTCGTTGGGGATTTTGGCCGTGCCGTCTTTGTCCGCCTCTTCAACCACTGCTGGTGCTGGGACCTGGAGTACGGCTTTGTAAGGGCCGTTGCATCAGCCCGGCACTGCACCTCACCATGCAAAGAGCGTGCAGCTCGCTGCAAGAGAACCCCGCACTGGGGAGTTGCCAACTGTCAGGGTGTGAATTGGACAGTCTGAGAATTGGCCTCTGTTCGGATGCAGGAATTGATTTGTACCGATAGCTAGCACCGGTGTTTTGCTTATATATATTTTTATCACGGTTTACTGCACAGTATTGATAGACCTACCCTGAGTGATAAATATGTCTGGGTTTGGTTTGTGGAAAAGGTGGCAACCGTAATCCGCATTATATCCTGCACCACACTACATCCCAAAGTTCGCCAAGTAAACCAAGAAGGCTTCTGTATCCTCTGAATAACGTCTTCAGTACGTCATAAGCTAACTGCATGTCCTCAGCATGCAGCGCCAACATATGTACTTAGAATTGAGGCGAGGTGCTAACTGCACATCCACATTAAAACGCTTTGCACCCCCAATTTGTTACCCCGCACGCAAATATGAATGTTGGTCATTTCATGGTGCTGGCTAATGTGTGAAGCGATGCAGTACAACCATCACGTGACTCGTCGATAAAATTGTTGCTGTGGAGTACTCTTTCAGTGACTATTTCGATAACAATGTATGACACCACCCACACAACACACACCACACTCGAGCACATCAGGAAATGCAAATACCTTACAGCATACCCACTGCGCACGTATTACAATAACAACAACCACTATTCGTCACCACAGTGCTTGTTCCAGGCTAGGTGCACTTTGAGGCTATGTGAAGTGTCGAAGTCTCACATACTGAAGCTGTTGGAAAGACCCAGGTGTTATGAGTTAACTGACTGAGATGATTGAGATGACTGGCAGATGCACAACCTGTGTTCCTCACTGTGCCACCTAGCTGCGTTTTAGGCACCCGGTACTCCACTCGTTGTGAGTATCGCTCCTCTGCCCTCCATTGTTGTTGGGAGGGCAATTTTCTCAAACAGCCCAGCAGCGTCCTTCATGAGCTTTCTCCACAGTGGCCGATCTTGACACCACTGGTACCAGTCATCGGCAAGCCCAATCAGCTCTATATCTTCCTGTACCACATCAGCCCATCTCTTCTCTTGTACATGCCACGCCCGTTTAGCCCCCTCTCTCCAGCCAAACAAAAGCTGCTTGAGCATTTTGTGGCTAGGCATGCGGCTTACAAGACCCACCCAGCCAATGCAGCCTCAATGATGGAACATTCTCAACATGTTTCAATGATCTGTGAGCTTTTCGCAAAGTTTAGTCTGGTTAATTAATCCAGGATGGATAATAGCCAGGCCAGTCAGATTTATTATTGTTGTTGTTTCGGTTGTTTACACAGGCAATCCTCACTGAGTCTTATACCTCTCTTTCAGAAGGGCCTTGACAGGTTTCAAGCATAGGGTAGAGAATAAATAATTATGACTAAGAAGACCTAGATATTTGTACGGAGCGATATGCCAGGTAGCTTCCACACAGTGGTACGCATATGATGAAAAGATAATGCTGCTCGACTGATTTGAAATAAAACCTCTGCTGCCAAACCAAAGCTGATCATAAGCACACTGCCCAGGAATGGGAACTCCTCCACTCTATCTACAACTGCCCCATCACTCATGGGAAGTTGAGGGGTGGATTGTTTGATGACATAAAATACCCAGGTGGTAGGTGCTTTGCTTTGGTGAGGCTCATGGTAAGGCCCTCTATTATTAGTGGCATACTCGAAGATTCTCAGAAGGGTCTACAACTCCTCCTCAGAGTGAGACAATTACCATAAAATAAGCATACACAATTGGGTTGACTAGAAGTTACCCATCCCTTGACCTTGGACATATTGATCAGCCTTCCATTGTATCTGTACCAGATGGACATTTCTCTGGTACAGCCATTTGAAGCTTCTCAAACTGAATAGTAAAAACAAATATTTTAAATAATGTAAGCGCTAGAGCACATCCCTGTCGCACCCTAACGTGAACAGGGGATGGCTCTGACTGCCGGCTTAGCGCACCGTCGTCGCTAGTCTACTCTACAGCACGTCTGGCAAAAAACATCACCAAGCTGCCACGTGTACAACATTCTCTGGCACATGTCGTGACGGGTACTGCAAGATTCGACCAATACCTTACTGATCTCGTCAAGGAACAATGAACAACACTACCGGCCGTGACTTCGCAAGTCCCGGCACCACACAGTGACAAGAACAGTCACTACATACGTATCAAGATGCAGCATTGAAAGGGGTGGGGGGCTTTTAGATCTGTGTCTGTTACACCACCATCAAGTGACAATGCAACACACACTAAATAACATTTTTATTAATTTATCAGGTAAGCTGCACTGAGTCTGAAAACTCATTTTGGGAGGGCCCTGCATGTGGGCGTTTGATTGTATCTTAAAAGAAGTGCTTTACATGTGGCAGTAAAACGACTACCTGGAGAAAGCCAAACGATAGGTGATGAATCTACTTGAGCCACCAACTGTTGCCTCCGACGCGCTGCTCTGCAGCTGTGCACCACTGTCCTTTACACACATACAACACTGCACTAACGATTGTATAAATGTTTAAATGCTGTATTTGAGCCATTCCCGTAGTCTCAGAGAAGACGGCGTTCAGCTTCAGTATCAAAACCTTGTGTCTGTGTGTGTACTACATTTTCACACATAGCCCTCTTATGGAGAGTTCGACATCAGTGGGAATGTGCTGGGACTCATTTTCAACCAGGGCATGATCTGGTGAGTATCACGCAGCACCCCTGCCTGAAAGCACTCCTGGGGATGGAGAACGTCGTTTTACAAACACGAGTCATAATGGGGGAGCTTTTCGGCCCCAATATTAAATGTATCGATAACAAATTATGAAGAAGCAATTAATACCCAAATGTGTAATGCACTCCAGGGTTTTTATCGGGTTCAAACGTGCAGCAAACCACACGCGCGGGGAGGCGGCCAGGGCTGGCACCAACAATTCCCTAAGCTCTGCGGCCCTACATTGGGATGTTTGGTCGAATCCAATAATGGCCCTTTATACTTGAACAATTCTGCTTCCCATAAATGTACATTTTAACAGCAATTAGTTGACACCGACAAGATGTTGTGCATTTATGCAACAGGGTTGCTTACGTGTATGTATATATGTGTAAACACAAAGATGTCGGGAGCGGTGGTGCAGCGCTTAGCGCGCCGTGCTACGAACCCGGAAACCCGGTTCTGTGCCTCCCCTAGGTCGACTCAGCCTCAAATGAGTACCTGGTGTGGTGTGTAAACATCACCACTGCAGAGATAAAGGCGGCCGGGTGTGCGTTTGGACACCCACCCTTTCATGTGCCATGCCGGCCTTCATAGGTGCTCGCTAACAGCACTTGCCCCAACAGTCTCTTTAGGCTATATGGGGAATCTTTGTCCTTGTCTTTGTTTGCTCTTGCCCTAACAGTCTGTTCAGACTATACGGGGGATCTTTGTCTATATACAAACCTGTGTTGTTCTTTTTTATTTCTGATATCGCTGCCCTGAAGAGCGGATTCTGCTTTAAATGTTCACGAGTTTAGTTTTTATCTGAAAACTTAACGCAGTATTTTGTTCGTGGAAACAGTACAGTTTTGTCTAGCTTATGGTTAGAAGGCCAAGTGACCTCAAGTGGTTGTCAACCGTCTGGAATAGGAGCACGTGGAATTGCAAGTTTATGGAGACCTGCGCAGTCACTGTAGATATCATGTTCTGTGGTTCTTTCAATAAAGCCACGTAGATAGAAAAATAATAATATCACGCGAAGTTTCGATCGCAACACAAGCAATCGTCTTCAGGTGACGTCTTCAGGTGACGATTGCTTATGTTGCGATCGAAACGTCGTGATATTTTTATCATTTTTTATCTACGTCGCTTTACCGAAAGACCCATAGAATATGTATTCCTGCAGTCACGAAAGATTTAAGTATAGATATCGTACGTATTGATTTATATTGCCGTACAGTAGCAATTGGCAAAAATCCATTGATCTGTATTGATATGTGTGCTCATTTCGTGGATCTTGTAATCCGCAACACTCCACGGGGGTTAGAATTATAATCTACAAAAACTAATATTGTGCCGACGTGGTGTGTGACGGATTTTGGGAGGAATTGGCCACGGGATTCTGTTAATCCACCGGGGAAGCACGGCATGTGACAAATTACTAAATTCATACTCTTTGGTTCTTTCGGTAAAGTTACATAAGTAGAAAAATAAAATAAAACAAAAAATAATATATCAACGACGTTTCGATCGCAGCACAAGTGGTCGTCCTCAGGCGGAAAAAATAATCCAGCAGTCGAACTGCTGAACCAGCGAGAGAGCTGTTACAACAAGGTGTTATATATGTGGCGATGGGCAAGCAAGCGGGGTCTGAGCTGGAAAGGAATTCCATCCCCGGACGCACGCACGTCAGTTGTGCTAATGGGGGAGATTAGGGAAAGAGAGATTAGCATGAAATGAGCTTCTGTCGCAGCATAAGAGTATCATCCTCGCATATGTGCACAACAGCAGTGTTAATGGGAGATTAACACTATGTTGATGGGAGAGATTAGGCAGGGAAATTAGGGAGATTAGCAAACTAATGTCACGTCTATGTGTAACACAAGCTGCGGCGCTGCCAACTGCACTGAGAGGAAAACGCGTCAACGCAAGAGGTTTGAAATTAAATGATAATGCCACATTTGCTTGAGGAGAGATCGCATAACATACATCCACCTGCTCGCCAACACTGCCTTGCCACCCCATCCTACCCCAGGATGGGCTCTTTCTACGCGCCCTGCCTCCCAGCCATCAACGTGCTGCGACTTCTGGCCTCCATGTACCTGCAGTGCTGGGCCGTGATGAGCAGCAATGTCCCGCACGAGCGTGTCTTCAAAGCCTCTCGTTCCAACAACTTCTACATGGCCATTCTCCTCTTCATCCTCTTCCTCAGCCTGCTGCCCACAGCGTACACCATTGTGTCCCTGCCGCCCTCATTCGACTGCGGCCCCTTTAGGTGTGTGGGCGATGCTCCCGCGACTTGTTCCGGCCAACCACTCAACCGTTCCCCAGCATCGACAGGAGGACATGGCACTTAAATTATAGTGCTACACAAAGGCTAGACCAATCGTCTTAACGTCCATAAGTCAGGGTAAAGTCAAAGTGATTTTCCTGGGAGGCCACAGCGGGGCAGGTAAGTGACAGTCCCTCGGGGTTCGAGGATGACGTCCATCAGATTTGGAGGTGGCTCTTGAGGTGGCATGCGGTCCCAGATGGAGTGGCATCCGCAGTGCCGGGTTAGCTTCCTTTCCTTTCTCTTTTGGCGGCGATCCGCTTCGGCATTGTGATGTTGGGTCTCGAAATGGGCTGCATCCCGGTGGATGTGCCGGCGCCACCCCTAGGCGGGTGGCAGGCTGCTCCTCCCAGTCTTGAAGACCAATGTTCCCGCGCTTCATCAGGGAGGACTTGAGGGTATCGTTGAACCATAGGCTCTCTACCGGTCCCATATACAGGTCTGAAAATGGGGTTTCCTGCTAAAATTACCGATGAAGCATTGATGCTCCTATTTACAGCCCTGAACCAGTGGTGGAAAAAATCCACATTCCTATGGGTGGGGACGAATCTTTTCATAAGACACTCACTTTTGACTTCCCCACAATGTGGCACTCATTTTATTAACCCAGAGCATTTATGGGATGAGTCAACCCCCAACCAGGCTTTGCAGTCTCAACCTTTCGATTGCGAGCTGCTTGCTCTACCATTGAGACACCTGGCCGGATTGGCCAAGACATACTTTCTTAGTAAATGGATAATAATTTCCTAGTATATGGACACACATAAGATATAACCTTTTATTATGTACTTTACATGACAGGGGCTGCTACAATCTACTCTGCAGACAGAGTATTGGCATTACATTTTGTTAATGTTGTGCTTGCATGTACGTAGAGAGCTTTTTCCCCGCCAGCGATTGCGTGTGCATTGTACGTACATTACTGCATATAACAAAACCGTAAATGAGTTTGTATCAATCGTTGCAAACCCCTCCCAATCCAAACCACTACCTGTTGACCCCGTGACCCCAGTGGGAAAACGCGCATGTACGAGGTCATCCAGGAGACCATTGAGGCCGACTTCCCAGCCTGGTTCAGCACCGTGTTCAGCTACGCGGCCAACCCGGGCCTCATCCTGCCGCTCATCCTCCTCATGGTGTACGCACCACACGCCACTCCACAGCGCCGCACCACAGTGATGCAATTTGCATCTCGAATCCCAGATACATTCCCTTTGCCATCGGCCAGGCGAACATATTTGTGGTGGGTAGCGTTTGTCACAAAACAAATGTCCCACTGCTCTGTACAATACAAAACAATAAAATGACAAAACGATGACGGTCACAAGACAGGCAATGTCAACTTGAAAACAATCGATTTATAAAGGCCAGTGAATAACAATGAGTTTTGAGATGAGATTTTAAAATACCAATTGGTATCCGAGTCTCAGAGCTTTGGATTAATCATTCCACAATCTTGGAGCAAAGGAAAATAATGGCCTGTCACCCACGTGCACAATTAAAGCACCTGCATTACTAAGCGAGTGCACGTGGTGTATCGTACGTAGGGACATATATGCTGTGAGCGATCCGAACGTCTTCAGATTGAAGTTCCCATAGGCTTTCCCTCTAAAAAGAATTGCAAACGTGCTTAAAGTCTGTAACATAAATCCCAGTTAAATATAATTCCCATATTTCAAGCGCAATTATGAAATCTGTTCACTATAATGCCGCCCTACTGTGAAGTCTATTTATTTTACATTCTTGCTACTTTTAACCGGCTTCCATTTTCTCGGCAAAAGGTAAGAGTTATGAGAATTGTTTCATTTTTGGGTTGCATTTCCCTCAAAATGGATGGATTGTAATTGAACTACAAGTATTTTGTTTGTCCATCGCTTGGCTTGAAACAAGATCTTATTCTGCTTTAGTTCCCTTCCGTTGTCTTCGAGAGACAATGGGGCCAAGTGAAATATATCTGCTTGTTCCTGTCTTGCACCACCAGCCTCACGGCTTTGCTTTCCTGTGATGGTCACGTTTGATCAACTCTCAGAGTTGATGGCCTAAACTACGACATGAGTGTAGGAGGGGTAAAGCAGCTCGGTTTGATCATATCAGCACCTCGCTTTGTTGATGATGAACCCCATCACTTTGAGGTTTTCATTCACAGTTATTATGATGCTTGTTTACCCATAAAATACTTTTTATGGATCCTGCCATTTTTTCCACGTGTAATCCCAATTGAGTATATTTGCAGGTAAATTTTCAGCATTGGGATGTTTGGCAAATACTAGTTCCATCGCATGCCATTTTTTGTTGTCATGCATAACAGGGAAAGGACATGCAAACCACACACAAATTCGCCCGAGTTGGGAATCGAACTCGGGCCCTTCATGCTGTAAGCCACAAGTACTACCACTGGACTATCGTGTCGCCACCCGTTAAATTATTCTTGAAAGTGTATAGGATGCTGGAAACAAGGTCTCCTGGAGTTAAATCTCAGAGAGTAGTTCCTTAATGTCCGAGATTGATGTTTCTGCACCCACTGCATATCACAGTGTGCTGGTAATACAGTATAAGTCTGCTTTGCATCAAACAAAAACAAATTACAGTAGTCCCTCGGTTAACGGTGACATCGATTAACGGTTTTTCGGTTAACGTTTCGCCTCCCATAGTGACCCCATGGTTTCGACTAGCACTAACATTCTAACTGGCAATGTGTTTACGTTATGCACGCGAGCGCCAATTTCCGGGAATCCGACTGCTGGTAAGTGGTGCTGAGCCATGCCCTCAGCCAATCAGCGACGCCCATTCATGAGCGCTTAGACCACGACTGCCTTTGTTCATACAACGCTTTCTGTTTTGGCAGTGGAAACAGCTCTCCCGCAGACTCAATTATTTTTTTTACTTATGTTTCAACTTATAAGTGAATTCTATTAACATTTATTTTGGTGAACAGTAGTTTTCGTGGAACGGATTTGAAAACGTTAACCGAGGGATGACTCTGTAATCTTCGTTCAAAACTCTACCCTCTTTAGCCCCAGATGAACTGTTGTCTCAACTCACGTGTAAAATGTTTAAATCTTGACTTAAAGCTTTCGTGACTGCAGGAATTCATACTCTTTGGGTCTTTCGGTAAAGTCACGTAGATAGAAGAATAATTTTAAAAACCACGACGTTTCGATCGCAACACAAACGGACTGCTGAGGCAGGAAGAAATAAAGCGCTGTATTTCTTCCTGCCTCAGCAGTCCGCCTGCTGTGTTTTTCCACCTGAAGACGATTGCTTGTGTTGCGATCGAAACGTCGTGATTTATTATTATTCTTTTATTATTTTTCTATCTACGTAACTTTACCGAAAGACCCAAAGAGTATATGAGATGTTTAAGTTAGCGTGCTCAGGTATAGCCCGCGTGTAACATGGGTCCGAGTGTAGCAAAGTAGCAGAGAGGAAATGTGCTGTGCCGTTTGTGATGACCCCGTTCGTTCCCATTGCCCTGCGTCCACCAGGCTAGCCCTGTACTACTTACAGGCAGTGTCTCAATCTTACAAAGATGCCAACCTGGAGCTCAAGAAGAAACTTCAAATGGTACGGACTCTGCACGTTTGGCAATACATCACAACTTTCTAAGTGCCAGGGGCGGAGCCACGGGGGTGGGGGCTGGGGGGGGCTCAACCCCCCCTGAAATTTTGGGAAAGTCGGTAATCGGGATAACCTGATATCCGGCTGCTGCAAAATGCTGCATGCTGCCACCTTGTGCTGCCCTGCAGGCTGCCACCTCGTGCTGCCCTGCAGGCTGCCACCTTGTGCTGCCCTGCAGGCTGCCACCTTGTGCTGCCCTGCAGGCTGCCACCTCATGCTGCCCTGCAGGCTGCCACCTTGTGCTGCCCTGCAGGCTGCCACCTTGTGCTGCCATGCAGGCTGCTTGAGTGGCAGCCTTTCGAACATATCAAACTTATTTTCCACATCAGCGGCTCCGACCTATTAATAAACTCCGCGTTCAAATCCAATAAAATTTGTTTTATACATTTGTGGCGCCCATTGGAAAACATTACACTGGATATCTCAGAATATTGAAGTCAGCCCCCCCCAAAGTCAAAATCCTGGCTCTGCCCCTGCTAAGTGACAATCGCGTTCCTGATGCCAGCAAACTTCGATTCAAGTACATGCAAAGCACTGGGAATCCATCATTCCCCATGAGCTACCACGATCATCTTGGCTTGAATTTCAATTACATAATGCCACGAGCATGATTATTTTGCCCCGTGCTCCCACAAGCCAGGGATTGATATAAGATCATTGGTTTCAGGCTGTAGAGACTAAAATGAGTTGGGGCTTGTAATCCATTTCCAGAACTGGAAGGCCTACAGCAAATTCAATCTCGTCAAAAATAATCGAAAACTGAAAATGTCGAAAATCCCCTGGTTTAATGCAATAATATATCTCACGTCCCAAGAACTTGCCTTGCTCTATTATTTATTACACTGTCTGTTTTAACATGTTTGAGCACAAGACCAAAGGCAATGTTTTTTAGAAAATAATTTAGGAAAGGAGACGTTGGGAGGGAAATCCGAAGTCGGGGATTGTGAGAGAAGAAGCAGAAGAAGCAGAAAGAGAAGTGTAGTGAGTGGGTGTACGAGTGGGTGGGTGGGTGAATGAGTGAGCTGTTGCGACCTTCGGTGTGGTGGAAGAAGAGTGTGGGTGAGATAAAACGGCGAGTCTCAACATGGGCAGAGAAATCAATGAGTGAACTTCACGGGAACAAACATAATAATAATAATACTTCCTCACCCTAGTACCTGATACCAAATGCTTTGTCCTCTGGCACCGTTCTTCGAGCCTTCACAAAAAGCAGCTGTCGCGTTTTTATTCCCGCAGTCTTGTCGAGCGTTGGGGCACAAACCACAGCTGATGCCTTTATTAGCGGTGGTGCCACTCCTTCTGAAATGAAAGGGAACTGATTTGAACGACCACCGGGTGGTGAATGTAAGGCCGGGTGGCTCGGTTAGTAGAGTGAACGGCTCGCAATTGAAAAGTTGCGAGTTCAAATCCCGGTTGGGGTGGTGGTGGGGGGGGGGGGGGGTTCATTTGGCCCGGCATAAAATGAGGGTTGAAGTCCTTTGGAGAGACTCGCCCCCATCATAGCAAAGGGGAATTTCCACCACTGAGCTCAGAGCTGTAAACAGGAGATGAGCACCAATGCCTCAATGCTCGTTTTAAGCAGCAAGGAGACGCCGAACATCGTTTTTGTTTTGACCACCGCGGTTCGTGCGCCCCAAACGCCCTCCCGTCCCGTTGTAACGTCTCAGCAACGCGACGACGAGAAAAACAAGAAGAGCAAGGCGGCGGGACTCATGGAAGACTTCGAGGAGGAGCAGACGAACGTGGACGTGAAGAAGGGGTCAGAGGTCGGTGCTGCGACGGGAGCGGGAAAGGGAGGCGGCGATAAACCGGCGGCGGCGGCGGCGGCGAGCGGAGAGGCGGAGAGGGGAGCCAAGCACGGGCCGGCTGCTCACGAGGGGCCGTCGGCGGCGCAGGGACAGCAGCAGAGTGGACAGGCAGCAGGTGCAGGTGCAGGTGCAGGTGCGTAGGCGGAGAGGAACCCACTCGCGCAACACGCACACACGCAGGCTGCAAACAAGTAGGCTTAACAGCAAAGACGCCCCGTATAGTCTTAACCAGACTGTTGGGGCAAATGCTGTTTGCATACCTGTCAACCCCCTATCAGTGCCTAACTTCAGACCTTAAATTTTGATTTAAAGCTTTCGTGACTGCAGGGATTCATATTCTTGGTGCTTTCGGTGACGTCACGTAGAAGGGGAACAATAAAATAATAAACAATATAAAACAATAAAATACCGAAAGAACCAAAGAAGAATAAAATTCTCACGACGTTTCGACTGCAACACAAGCAGTCATCATCAGGTGTGAAACCACAGCAAGAAAATTTGAAAAAAGTGGCGTTTTATTTTATTATTTTATTGTTTCCCTTCTACGTGACTTTACCGAAAGAACCAATAATATAATTCAGACCTTGTTGGTCACCCCGTGCCATTATAAATGTCAACGTTCATCCTACAAAGTCCCATCACAAGGGAGAAACGCAAACAAATAGACAAAAATTATGTTACAAAACAAAAACTGTTTTACGTATTAATCTTGATAATTGGTGTCAATGATGCTACTTAACATGCTTACTGTCTGTGATCTTGCATGCTGATGCTGTCCCACGACTATTTTTTATTTGGCCGTATTAATTTGTTTTGCCCGTATTAAAATGGCTGTGTGCTGTATGGCCCTGAAAAAAAACAATTTCCCTGTACAAGACTATTGGTTGACAGGTATGTGTTTGCGAGAACCTATGAAGGCCGGCACGGCAGATGAAGGGGGTGGGTGGCCAGCACCACACCCGACCGTCTTTGTCTCCCCGGTGGCAATGTTTACACACACCAGATACTTAGTTGAGGCTGAGTCTACCTAGGGGAGGCCCAAGACCGGTTCAGATAATTGCCACTGGTGTTGGTGGCCGTAAGCGGGAATCGAACTTGTGCAACGGGGTTCGTAGCGTAGTGCACTAACCACTACACTACCGCTCCCCACAACACACACACACAGTAAAACCTTGGATTGCGAGTAACTTAGTCTGTGAGTGTTTTGCAAGACGAGCAAAAGTTTACAATAAATATTAATTTGATAAACGAGCGAGGTCTTGCAATACGAGTGGTGTACGTATACGCTTTGTCTGCCGAGTGTCACGTGATCACAACTGATAAACGAGTGCTTTGATATACGAGTGCTTTGGATTACAAACACGTTTCCGGAACGAACTATGCTCGCAATCCAAGGTTTTACTGTATTTTAGTTTGTTGGTCTAAATGACAACATCGCCACACATTCAGTTATTTTGAGCCGGTGGTCTGGAAAAGGCTGTGAGCTTTTGTCCATTCAATGCTGCACACCTGCGTGTGTTGTTAAATCAAAACACAAGCATGCTGACAAAGAAGTGAACACTGAGGTATCCTTACAAAGAGGCACAGCGAGTGGTCACAATGTGTCGATGGTACGCCATGCCAACACTTCTCAAAACACTAAACATGTTAACTGAAAACATCCCTCTTAATTTTGAAAGCAGCAGTGAACATGGTTTGCTGGACAAATGTGTTTCATACCGGCATTTCTGCATTTCCATTTCAACTCCTAAAGAAATACATCTATAGAGGTATACTAATGACTCGGATTTGTTTTTGATGGAGGACCCTTCGTGCTACTCCATCTCAGAGCGATGTTCATGCGATAAGTGGCTTGCGTCACATCTCAAACATTTGAAAGGGTACCTCCAGTGGCAGCTGTCCCTAGGAGGCACAAGGCAACTCGGCACCTGGCCTGCACGTGGGCAGTAGTCGAGCAGTAGGGGGCGATGATTGCTATGTTTAATTCCAGGCATGCTCACAAAGGTGCGTGGATACTTTAAGCTTTACATTATTTTCTCAGTGCTGTTTGTGACCTCTCCACTGACCATGGCGTAACATGCTCGAGCATGCCTAGGATGAATTCTGGGAATTTTCAGTTCATGGGCATGATGTCTGTAGGACGCTTGCAGGATATATCAGTCACGTGCCGAAAATGAACCCAATTTAAATAGATGTGAGGTTATCTTGCTAAGAAAACACTTCATTCTATAAGTTTGGTCATTGTGAGTTAAGTAAAGATTGCATAGTGAAGGAGTTACAATCCTTGTATTTATCCCGCACCTCCGATTAGTGATGTTGGCTACGTGTGGTGAAAAAGAAGTTCAACATGAATATGTGCAAATACTTTTCCAGATATTACCACAAGCTGGTGGATACATAGTGATGAAGTATAGCAGTGTTGTTGTACAACTGCACATTCGAAGAGCAGTGAGCTGTTATTAATGTTGTCTTCTGAGGATGTAATGGGTGTAACATATTGATAAAGCTGCAATGTGGTGGTAATTGTGGAAATTATGGCAACATTAATGTGCTTCATAAAATCTATGTCAGTCAACCTGAAACAATTGTGAGTGACCAACACATATAGGGTCGCCACCTGTCCAGGTGTGACCCAGAAATTACGGGAATTTCCATAATTTGTGTGTTGGGTATAGGAGGAATCGATTTGTACCGAGATATGGTGGTTTTGTGTTGAACTTTACGACAGTTCATTGCAACTGAGAAATGTGTCTGGGTTTGGCCATGAAAGAGATGATAAAGATTTGAAGCTTTCGTGACTGCAAGGATTCATACTCTTTCGTTTTTTCGGTAAAGTCACGTAGGTAAAATGAAAATAAATGATATAATAATAAAACAACTAAATTAATTTTGAATAGATAATAAAGACCTTTTGATTGTTGGCTCTTAACTTTTAATACAAGAGAGCAATTCTAAAACACAAGGATGATGCGCGCAGTTTTATAACAACACGCTGGGTGGTGGTAGCGCACGCCTGTAATCCAGCACCGTGGAGACAGCGGGGTTTGGTGAATCGCACAAATTTCATGAAATTCGCTTCGCATGGGCGTCGAGGTTGTACGTATGTACGTATGTTGAACTTCTTTCGCACCGTAGGTACCCAACTGTGCTAATCGGAGCCATATCCTGGCTTACCAGGACGTGGCAGCACAACAAATGAATTAATCACCACCGTTTTCCATCCGTACGGGTATAGTGTAACCCCACCTCCTCGCTCGTATGGGTTTTCTCCGTGTACTCTGGTTTCCGCTCGTGTGTAAACATTAATTAATCAACAGGAAACGCGTTAATATACAGATGACCACAGAGCTTGGGCAATTACTGGCACCGGATCACTGCCTGGCTGCCGTCCAGCTCGCCTGTGGTTTTCTGCTCCTCTGACGTTGCCCATCCTGTCACCTGCAGGCAGAGGTCAAAGTCAGCCGAACGGGGCACGATCCACGCGGGGAGAATCGGACTTTCCGCAGGGGCCTCCGCAGCCAGGGCGTGGGCGCGGAGGTGGATCCCGCCACCCTTACCCCCGCTACGCACACCCGCAGTATCTGTACGGTTACCCGCCCTACGCACACCCAAGCATGATGTACCACCCTCCGTGGGGGGGCGGCGGCATGCTCCCTGGATATCCCCGACCTCCACGCGCCATGATGAGGGGTGGCCCTACCTATTGACGGCACTCGTTCGGCGACGCGCGTTCGTTGCTGTGCAGACGCGTCAGAAAACTAAAGCAGAACGGAAGGAGATAAGAGGTGGCAAATGTTACATGGCAAAGTGCGAAAGGCCGAAGTATTTTTTTGGGGCCAACCACAGTGGTCATAGTAATGATCATAGTAATAGCTTCTAAATGTGGGCAGCTGTGACACGTTTAGATCCGTTACCGACGGCCACAAGTGTCATTTGGTGAGCCGGGTCGCTTGTGATATGTACGACGGGTGGAGTGGCACGCGCGTGAGACTAACTCTCGCTTGTGTTGACACTTGCTAACGGTGTTTGTACCAGGAAGTCCAGCTTTACACAGGGAGCAGAACAGTGGAATTAAAAAAAAAACTCAAAAGAAATTACTCCCGAGCACAGAGGCTCACGTCTACATCCTTAGCGTATTCCCAAGCTCACACACACACAATGAAGTAATGTTAACTCCGCCACCGTTAGGCACCAAGGTTAATTTGATGACGGCCTTCTAGATCGTCGGAAGTTCCCCCCACATCCGGCAAAATAATTTGGATTCCACTGGGGTTTCGCACGCTCGCGGTTTTACCCTGCCCATGGTTTATACTTTCCGGGTTCTGGAGATCAGAGTGGAGCCCTGAGGCCCACTACTCCCCTCCAACCACAACCCCAACACTGCACCACTCCCACTCGTCATCACGAGCTGACCTCGCACACACTACCTCCACAATTGCCCAAGATGGCGCCTCACGCCAACCTCACCACAATTCACTCGATGCTAGGCACCACACAAACAATTCACAACGTCCGACAGTAAGCACAATTCAGTTCTTCACCCCAGTCCACAGCAAAAGGCTTCCACTTTACTTGCACTGCCTCATCCTTGCCACAGGACGGGCGCTGGGAGGCAGCGTTCTGCCTTCTTTGCTCGGCCCCACCCTGCACCAGCTCTTGCCCTTGATTTGACCTTGGCCTCGACCTTCACCGTACTCCAGTCTTGACTCAAGGACCCTGGTGTACAGCACATGAAGCTAAACTTTTAAACTACACGCCGTTATGCAGGATTGTAATCACGCCGTCAAGTTTATAAGTTCCCATTGTGCTGTTGAGTCCACTGCTCACCACACACAGCAGCAGTGGGACTAATTCGGGTGTTGCTGGCAGCTCGGCACCTCCACTCTGGACTGTTGTTGGTGTCTCCAAATCCTCTGCCTTGTTTGAGCTCTCCTTTTATAAGCAGCCCCTATCCAATGGGAGAGCGGCTCCACCGTAAGCTGTTAACACCTGGCTGGTTTTCTAGTTGTGCTCCAAGTGAGTACTTTACACATGGTTACAGTCAGTCAGCTGCTTGATTTGAAAGTCACTTGATGTAACTGTCGACTAGTTGCCAGACTTGCTCATTTGCTTACACTCCTCTTCCACTGGCATCATCACGGTTGTTCCAAACCATACTTTTATTCCAACACAGTGTTTCAATACGTCTTACGTACATCACTATTTCCCACACTTCTTCCCACCAGAATCCTATAGTGATGACTCTTACCCTACCACTAACACCTTTCATACTAAATATCCTATTCCCTGAACGCCTCCCTCCCATCTTGGATGTTCAGCTTCCCCACCAGACCAGACTGACTCAAATCCCTCAGTCAATTATTGTTATTATCTCCTTACTCGTCCCACATCCTTGGTCACCCCATGGCCCTCTCTTATTTGTCATTGCTCATATCAACCTCGATCTGCGTTACACCACCTCCCCTGCCAATCTCCTCCCTCCCTCATTTCCCCACTAAACTCTTCTGATCCCGAACCCCTTCTTCAGCTCGCATGGCGTGCGCCTCTACCCCATCATTACAGTCATCCTATATCCCAAATATCGCGGGCGCCACGGTATCGAGATGTTAACTACCTCGCCTGGTATACAGGAGGTCGTGGGTTCGATCCCGACCCTGACGCCTGTATTTGGAGTTTGTATGTTCTCCCCGTGATCGCATGGATTTCTCTCTGGGTTCTCTGGGTTTCCCCTCCACATTTAGAAACGTGCGTTTATAGAGTATTCGACCGCTATAAATGTCCACGTGATATGCCACATCTTTGAGATATCATATGTGGCCAGGTCGCTTATGAAAACGCGCTATATAGCTCAGTGGGCCTGACCTAGTTAAATGAAAAGTTTTCGTTTTATCATCCCCTACCACCCCTCAACGTGTCATCACCCTCATTGTCATTGTCATCCCTCGCCATCGGCATCATCACTTTCTATCATCGGTGACACCATCCTTGAAGCGCGGGCCACAACACTTGCAGCCTTTTCCCTTTGCTGGGGAGACGATGAGTCATTCCTCTTCCACACGTGCAAAGCAAAGCCTTTGCAATGCTTAGTTTTTGCAGCCAATAAATTGACTGGGTGTCAGTGCTCGGGTTATGGCAGCCACGTCTCTGTGTGTCGTCACGGTCGACAACCTGTCCATTCTTCGAGTAGTCGCTGCGCCGACTTCACAAGCAGCGGAATGGGGCCACCAGAAAATAGTGTTCACTTGTGTTGCACTTAATACGACTGTAATGCAGTGGTGGCTATGTTTCTGCGGAGTACTTCTGCTGGTTTTGGCAACAAAAGGCTTTGCTTTGATTTACACCCCCCCCAACCAAAATAAGTCTGAAAAAATCTAAATGTGTTATAATAAAGCGATGAAAAAAAATGTATATTCCCTTTTTTGTTGACGCAGTGAAACTCCAAAAATCAGCATCGATGTGGGGGTGCCACTTTTGGCGAATCCCGAAATCCGCTACGCACCACCGCAAGAACAACTAATGTCAGCAACAGAAGTTTGTGTAAAATTCCAAATTTTTTGGTGTTATCAGCCACACGACTCCAGAAATCGGCAAAAAAATTACCAGATCTCAGGAGTGTTTGATCGCGCTGCCAAATAACAAAAACAAAACTAATTTTGCAAACTTTAGGAGTTATGTGGGGGCCGACGTCCACCTCCCCGCTCCCCGTGAGCGGGCGGGGCGCGACGTCCACCCCCTCCACTCCCACCTCCTCCTCTTCGGCCGCCTCTCGCTGCGCGCCCGCGCCGATCGGATTATCGGCCCCCCGCGCCAGCGCCCTCTCTGAGGAGGGGCATCGCTACTCGGCTGGCTCACCACCGCTCGGGGTTATCTCCCCACGCACCCCACCACACAAAAACGAACGCAGGGACGTGCACGCGCGCGCCCCTGCAGGCGCGTATTTCCCTGGCGCTAATCAAAACGGCAGTATGAATCTGCGCGTGCATCTCCGGGGGTTAAACCCTAATCCGCGTGCACACAAAGGCTAATGCTAAAGGACTGTATGAATATGCACGCGCTCCCCCCCAGTGGTTAAGCCTTAATCCGCCGTGTAAACAAAGGTTAATGCTATAGGGAAAATAGCGGCGGCGCTAGGACTATGGGTGCACGCCTCACAGTCAATGATATTTTATTACACGCTTTTATTTAACTCGCTCTGTTGTCGTATCCTCAAATCCTGTAACTCAATTTTAACCCACTTCCCAATGTGGTATCGACTGCAAACTTGGTCTATCTTCTTTGGTTCTTTCGGTAAAGTCACGTAGAATGAGAATAAAATAATAAATTGATAAAATAAAATAACACAATAATATTCTCACGACGTTTCGGCCACAACACAAGCGGCCTTCATCAGGTGAAGGGACGAGACTGTCTGCTAGGACAGCGCTTTTAAACTTGGCCTACTTATGTCAGACCTCGGGTCGCAGTGTTAGACGGGGGTCAGAAGGACCCCAGCCTTCGAATCAACAAATCCGACCCCTTTACGATAGCATGACGGCACTAGCAGCTGGGATCCTGGCGGGATCTCCACGTTGATATCAGCGAGTGCCTGTGCTGCAGCGCTCGATGCCGAATGCAGCAAAGGGGAGGGCAAAAACCACAATTTGCGACCCGAAGGCATCTCCAAGCAACCCTGATCGACTAGGACCTTAACGGGCATACGTCGAAGAAAATCGGTACCCAACAAGCAGGGCACAGCCAACGACCTAGAAATCAAAACCGGTCCCGATACGGCAACATCACCAATGACAATGAGGGGCATCCACCTGGCCAATGATGCCCATGCTACTACCCCCATTAGCCGCAACACAAGCATCAAATACCGGCCGGATTTGAGCAACAGGAATCGACAGTAATTGAAACATGACATCTGAAATAATCGTAGTGGAAGCCCCCCGTGTCCACCAAGATGCGAACGTCTACTCCCTGTATCGAACCAGATACCGCCGAGGTTCCCGCAGCCGCTGCGACCACACGACACGCTAATTGTTTCAAATGTGTGACCGAATTGGGCCAACTTCGCGTAACCGAACTCGAATGGCCGGTGTTAATAACCGAATCCAGATGCGAGCGAATGGGGAACCGTGTCCTGAGATGCATGAGGTTGCAAAATGGGCCGTGTGTCCGACGCGTACCGACTCGCCTGCGGGGTTGGAGGATGAGCCGTCGGAGGGGCAGCAGGAGCTGGAGCAGCAGCCGAAGTTGGAGAACGAGGACGACTCTGGCATTCCCTCGCGAAGTGCCCCAGCCGGCCGCATCGGTAACGGATCACGGCCGGACTTTGTGCCCCGCGGTCTTCACGGTGACGCGATCCTTCGGACCCCCGGGCGATGAGCAGCATCACCCCGCCTTCGATCCCATTGATAAGCTGCAGCGGCTAGATCACCATCAGGAGACCCATCCCCAGGCGGAATGTCGACAACCCCAGCCGGTTACCCATCCATGCAGCCATTTGAGACCACCGCTGCAGATTCTCGTGTGCATGAAGGCATCTGGCAGCCCATCGGGACGATTGCCTCTCGTGGCCGCACGCAGGCAAAACCACTCCCATGTCCCTTGCCAGAACGAGCATACGGTCCATGACAAGCAAGTCGAGGGCCTCTTGTTTCACATCGGGGTAGGCAGCTACAGCCAACGCCATCGGAGCACTACGGTAGGCGAGGGGCGATTCAGAACTACCTTTCCTACGTTGCATAAACTTTCTTCGTGTGTTGGAAGGTGGCTCGTAAACTTCCGCCATCTTGCCATATGCACCTTTGTAGCATCGTTCTCTTTTCCGGAGGAATAGACCCGAAGACCGCCAGAGCGTCGTCATCTAACCCGGTCGGTAAAGCGACCGGCGCCTCTTCCTCCGTCCAGTGGACCGATCGGAACGCCGCTTCGAATCTCCAGGTGAAGGCGTTCCAGTCGCCGCTGGCCGCGTTGCCGTGCCGGCCCCGCATCTTGCCGCGGGGTGAGCAGCAGGAGCCGCCGCTCGGGCCGGCGTGCGCCTGGGGTTTGTGCTGCGAAGGCGGGAGGGGGGAGCCACCACTCGCCTTTCGCAGCTCACTGCTGGCGCTGGCACGAGTGGCCTACCCCGGCCTGGAGGGAGCAGCGCTGGGCTGCTGGGCTGCTGCAGCTCTCCCGGGGCCTGACACCAGCTGGCGCGGTGCCTGACCTGCCCGTTGATGCCGCATGGAGAGGCGGCCCTGCGGCGCATGTGCGCTTGAGGCATGCGCTTCTGTTGACGGCCTGTGGGACCGCTGCCATCGGCCTCCAGCCCTCATCGCCGAATTGCGTTTTGTTGGTGTGTGTCGTCTGGGCTGCCGGGATTCCGCCTTTGTGTTGATGGCAGGGCGTGATGAGGGTTTGAAGGTTTTGAAATTTGATTGATTGTTGTCGTGCTGTCTGGGTGTTGTGTTGGGTTTGTGTGCGGTCCGTCTTCATTGCTATCGCCAATGAACTGCAACTTGAATCACTTACCTATGAGATCTTCACTCAAAACTGCTCTAGACGTGTTGTACACCCCGAGCTGCCACTGCTATTCAGTGGTGTAAAATCAAATGTTTCGCTCCGGATGACCGTGGCAAAGTATGATCTTGTGTTTTGATTTAGTGTGCTGATCTTTAAAGGTGCATTCAACAATTTTGATACTCCTACTGATGCTCCTGCTGTTGTGGAGTGACTCATGCAGCTAGCTATGGATACAGGGTTTGGTGGTACATGTTGTTTATGTCGTTTATTGTGAAATGTCGGTCACAGTTCCTATGATCACTGTTACATTGCTTTTATGGCTTTATTTTGGTGATTTCAAAACGTTTTTTGGTTTGGCCATGTTTGTTTGTTGTAGTACGGAGTTAAACTGATGGCTTTAATCTAAGTTGTCTTGTGGTTGTTTGACTTGCATCCCACTGGGATTTTTGCACACAGCGTTGGTGTACGGTGCTTTTTCTGGAAGATTTTGCTGTTTTTCCCTGGATTTTTCTATTTGCGCATAGTCACTTTAAGATGTTTTCTTGTTAATGTTTTTTTTTATTTGTTGCGGTTGCACCCGATTCAAGAGCCGAATGGCTCACAGGGCTGTACCAAATCGATGAAACTGAAACTCTCTCATTACATCTCCATAAGCCCTTCTTCTACCAATCACGCACAGCCCCGTCACCTACCCTTGACCCCACACCAACCGGCTTGCCCTGACTGACCAACTCGTGCCTCACCCCCAGGCAAGGCTAGACTCTGTGGCACCTTGACTTCTGGAGATTCGGGTTTTGGGGGGGATTTAACCCCCCATAACTGCTCACCCCAGCATGACAGCATTCGTCCACACCTTTACTATGCTGGCCTTAGGAACGCACTGCATCCGTATTAGAATCAGTATTAGAATCACACTGTGTTTGTGTTAGAATCGCACGTAGTTTATTTTACACAATATATAAAACAAGATGCTGTTAGTGAGCATTTATGAAGGCTGGCACGGCACATGAGGGGGTGGGTGGCCAGTACCACGACCAGCCACCTTTGTCCCCACACTGACTTTCACACACTATCTACCGCCACTCGTCACCAAGTGGCAGTGACATCACCCCGGCACTTGTTGCCATGCTAGGTGCACTTTGAGGCCACATGAAGTGTCGAAGGCCCACTGTCAGGTCATGGGGCAGACCCAGGTGCCATGG